TTGGTTGTCAGCGGGAGTAAGAAAATTGCATTGCACTGTGGTCAGTAGGATGAAGAATAGTGCCCCATCATTGGTATTGGTGAGAGGAGTAGTTCCCCATCATTGGTGTCAGTAGGAGGAATAGTGCCCCATCATTTGTTTCAGTGGAAGAAATAGTACTCCACTGTTGACGTCAGTGGGAGGGAGAGTGCCTCATAATTGATGTTAGTAAGAATAGTACCCCATTGTTGGTGTTAGTGGGAGGAATAGTGCTCCATCGTTGGTGTCGGTAAGAAGAAATGTGGCCTAATGCTGGTGTCATTGGAAGGAATACTGCCCTATTGTTGGTGTCAATGGTATGAATTGTGCCCTATCGTTGGTGGCAGTGGAAAGAATAATGCCTCATCATTGGTGATAGTAAGAATAGTGGCCCATTGTTGGTGTCAGTAGAAGGAATAGAAGGAATACTGCCCCATTGTTGGTGACAGTAAGAAGAATAGTGCCACATCTTTGGTGTCAATGGAAGGCATAATGCCCAACTGGTGGTGTCAGAAAGAAGAATAGTGAATCATTGTTGGTGTCAGTGGAAGGATTTAGAAGGAATAGTGCCCCATCATTGGTGACAGTAAGAATAGTGGCCCATTGTTGGTAACACTGGGTGGAATAGTGCCCCATCGTTGGTGACAGTAGGAGGAATAATGTACCATTACTGGTGTCAGTGGAAGGGATACTGCCCCAATATTGGTATCAGTGGGGAGAATAGTGGCCCATTGTTGGTGTTAGTGGAAGGAATTGTGCTTCATTGTTGATGTGAGTGGAAGGAATAGGAGGAATAATGTCTCATATCAGTTGGAGGAATAGTGCCCAGAGGGCTGGATAAATGAAAGCAAAGGGTCGCATCTGGCCCATGGGCTGCAGTTTGGAGACCACTGCTGCACAGAAAGACTGATGTATTTTACAGTAGTGTGTCCCACCACCGCTGATGCAAACCAGAAATGCTCCCGCGCTCTGCTGATTGCAGCTCTATAGGGAAGGGGGAAAGGAGTGTCAGATTCCTGTAGAACAGCCATTCTCAACTTTTTTACCCTAGAGGAACCCTTGAAAATAACTTTCAGGTCTCAGGAAACCCCTATGATTAGTTCATTGGAGGTCATTAGTGCCCCTTACATTGGTGGTCAGTGGGGGGAATGTCCCCTTACTATGATTGTCACAATGCCAACTTTACAGTCGAGTAAAAAGATTACGGCTGTCGTGCTACTGGGTCTACCAGATGGCTATGGACCTGTAACTATGTAGACACAGATGGGAGATCAATCAACCACAACTCAAGTACCTATAGCAACCCTTAGAGGAACTATTGTGGATAATGGCTGCTTTAGAGAGGCCACTACTCTTACAAAGAGCACAGCAGTCTTTCTCTACAGCATGCTGCTGATCATATGTGTTTTCCACTGGAGCTGTGGGAGGTTTACAAAAATCTCACACAACAAGACACTTATCACATATTAATGTGTACCTCCTGAAAGGCAGATGTTATTGTCTAAGGATAGGAATAATTAACTAGACAAAGGTGCTCGTGCTACTTGTTTGGATAAAAATGCTTGGACAACCTATGAAACATCTTCAACATTACAGAGCAAGCCCAATTCATTGTGACTAACTACTACTAGATATACCATGACATAAGAACCTTCACAGACATACCTGGAGCATAAAGCTTCAAAAACAAGTAGTGTCAATTTCAACTTCTTTCCTAAGTTCCTCATATATAAAAACACGTGGGCTCACCTTACCTGGTAAAGGGGCGCCAGGTCGTTAGATCAGGTACCTCCAGGTGTGTGCAGTTGTCTGCAGATTATTTTCATTGTACTCCAGGAGCTCCAAAACCTTGAACACTCTATTCTACACATAGCGAGCACATTCCTTTGACCTGTAAAGTGGTCCACCGCATTTGGTGTCCAACAGAGAGGAAAAGGCAACCTGAGCATGACTATGGTAAATCAGGATAAGAAAGATTTTACCACAGCATGCAGAACCAAACCAATAATTCCTTTATGCCCTATTGGTCAACCATACACCCAGATTCACTGGTTTAGTGCACCAATATGAACATAAATTGGAGTGTCAAGAAACCTGAAACTGCTGTATTCAAGTTGGAGTCATTGGCTTGAAATCTATAGCTGCATCTGTTCTGCAGGAGAGTTGGGTGTACAGCTGGTCACTTGGGTATAAGAGAATTCCTTCCTAAATTACCACCTTGTTCTTCCTTAGGATATGTAATAGAAGTCATGAAGTAAATACATTCATATTTTAGTGTGCACTTTGCCTCCATACTGTCCGGTTATTCTATCCTACTTTTTACAAGAATGTCACAGAAACTAAAGTTCAGTCTGCTTATATTTTGCCTTCTCTTGATCATGGGGGGCCTTTCCCTATACCCACCAACAGATAAATTACATTTTTAAATAAAACCTTTCCATATTCATTGCATACTATTTTTAGGCCCAGTGAAGTCATCATCAGGGTAATGCAGGCCGACCATGGCTGGTGGGAGGGATTGTGCACAGCATCCTGAAAACAGCAGACCAACCTGGATAATGCCCAAATGCAATGCTGAGTCTCCATAATTGAAAAAACTGAAATTCATTGAAACCAATCTCTTACTGGCAAGGGACGATAAGGGTGTGGAGGAAATAGTTGGATAAAGCTGTAAGTCCTTCAGCTATGAAAGGAGGCAAGTTCTATCTGTCTTTCTGCAGCTTCGAATGCATGCCATGGGAAGCTCATGGTGTGCAATGAAATTGGAATAAACAATGACAGTACAGGACAGGAGGCGGTACAGCTGTACAAGACTGAAGGGAGAACTTGTAGGAACTTGGCACTTGACATCCACAGGTGACCTCTAATCCATCCATGCTGGGAATTATACAGACTTTGAACTAACTTGGTTGAGGTTGTTTTTCATTGGCGACCTCAGTATAGCGCTCTCTTGGCTGGCTGGGGGTCCCAATATTATTGCACCTTGGGGTGTTCGTGTGATAATTACAGGCTATTTTTAACCTGTATTATGGCTACATGTATGATGCTTCTATACAATTAGGGTGAATTTCCATTTTGTTGTCCTCCTCTGTTATATACCCCTGAGGAAAGAGTATTATCTGAAATGCGTTGGGTTTCCAACGGATGAATATCCAGTGGAATAACAAGAGGAGAGTCTCTTTATATCAGCTAAAGTCCCTTTATTCGCATTTATGTAGCCACTGTGTTGTGACTTACATGGAACTGAAAATGTGTAGTATTTTATTGTACTAGACTAAAGCTTTGTTGTATTTTACCTCAGTATTCTTTTTGTTGCCCTTAAAGTTTCTTGTCCAAACATTGGGGGTCATTCGATCTTTCTGCATAATTATGGGATGTTGGCAACTATTTAAGGACATAAGCTGGGGATATCTGTAGCTGTAGGAACCTGTTCAAAATTCAGTTATGATAAAGCAAAACTTAACATCCTCCTGAAAATGTATGATGTTTATAAACAATTATAGTAACAGATAATATTCCAATAATTTTTTTACACCTTTTTCTAATTTTTGTGGGTTTTTGTGGTTCTAGGGAACATTCAAAAATTTTGAGCTCATCAAACAGGACTAGAAGGGATATCTTCCAATGAGGTCATATTCACACTGTTATGTTGCAGTAACAATATACGAATGGTGCTCTATAATTGCACTCCACTAGGAGTCAAAATGCATCAGCAGCAGGAGTGGGTTGGAGTGTAAATGTCCGTGCTGGAACTGGAACAATAAAATAGTCTTTAGTCTGAAAAAGAATGGTGTGTGGCTTCACGATGCACAATGGTATGTGCACTCTGTTGCAATACTTTCTGAATGGCACCCCACTACTATGGGTTGTGGTGCATTGTTAAAAATGGTGCAGGCACCTATTTTTGTTCATTTGGCAGGACATTCATACAAATGGAATGCCTTGACGAAACATGTTAAAATCCCCTCCAGCAATGCAGCGCGCATTGTTGGTGGCACCAACATCTTGCCCTGTCTTCGGGATCTTTGGCCATCTTAAATAGCCATGCCAGGATGATGTCTTCTTCGCCATGTGCAGGAGTTCCTTTGTCCCAGAATATGTCGAAATTGTAGAGGAAGATTGTGAACAGCATGACATCACAGCCCATTTTCCATGTCATCCAATCAGAGAACACTTTTCATTCATTCAGAAAATGCAAAACATTCTCTGAATGGTGCTCGTGCCAAACAGCATGGGTCTTGGAAGCTAGTGGATTTTACTGGAGTCTACTTCAGTGATTTTCAGCTTCCACGGATATCCCACAGGTATGGTATGTACATACTTACATTGGTTTAAGCCAGGGGTCTCCAAGCTTTCTAAACATAGGACCAGTTTACTGTCCTTTAAAACTTTAGGGGGCAAATTGTGGTCTGTGAGGTTAGAAAATGCCCCATTGTCAGCGGGAGTAAACAATGCCTCTTGAAGGTCAATGGGGGTAAAAAAATTACATTTCACCTGTGGTGAGTAGGTGGAAGAATGGTGCCCCATCATTCATATTAGTGGGAGGAGTAGTGCCCCAGTGGTGTCAGTGGGAGAAATAGTGCTCCATTGTTGGTGTCTGTGGTAAGAATTATGCCCCACTGTTAGGTGTCAGTGGAAGGAATGGTGCTTCATCGTTGGTGTCAGTGGGAGGAACAGTGCTGCTAAGGGCCAGATAAAGGCAAGTGAAGGGAGGCATGTGGCCCGCAGGCCACAGTTTGGACACCGCTGGTCAATGTAACTATGTATAAAATATCCATACCTGGAATTCTTCTTTCAAAGAGGAGTATGCAGCTAACCTGGTAAGGTCTGCAGCACTATAGGATTTTTTCATTTCAGGGTTTCATAATGTTTTATTAGAATGAAAGGATCTCTATAGCAATAGTTGGCTACAGTAAGAAATCAGATTTGAACTGCCATCCTGTATATTTCTGTTCTGATCTGAAATGTTTCTTCCTTTTCAGGTGGACTTTGAAGATGTCATTGCTGAGCCAGACAGCATTCACAGCTTCGATGGAGTGTGGAAAGCAAGCAGCACTACGTTCACCGTCACCAAATATTGGTGTTACCGGGTGCTCTCAGCCATCCTGGGCCTTCCACTGGCCCTGATCTGGGGATTCCTTTTTGCCTGCCTGTCCTTTTGTCACATATGGGCTGTAGTTCCCTGCGTCAAGAGTTACCTGATGGAGGTCCAGTGTCTGGGTCAGTTCTACGCAGTGTGTGTCCATACCTTCTGTGATCCAATCTTTGAAGCTGTGGGGAAGGCACTGAGCGGAATCCGTGTGGCGCTCAGAAAAGAAGTTTGAAAACTTACGAATTAAATTGAAACTTTATTTTTACTAACAGAGTCAAGTGGATTTCAATTCAAATGCACCAGAGGGATCCGCAAACCAATTTATTGCAATGCATTGGGTGGTCCCTCTAGAAAATGAACTTTTGAACATTTTGGGAGGAGGTGGGGGTCAATTTTTTTTGTTCTTTTTATGTAACGAATGAACAATGCAAAGCCTGAGAAGGTATAAATACCGCATTTATTTTTTATTTCTCTGTATGCACAAAGGCTGTGTTTTGGTGAGATCTGGAGTAGAGTGTAGGATAGAAGATCTATGTCACATGATAAGTGGATAAATGGCCGCTGAGGTCCGATCCATACAGTTTTTATTTTTAATATGTACATTGTATCAGGCTCAACATTTCCTCCCCATTGACATAATCACAGTAACCAAATCCTTAGAAGGAATAACAGATAATTAATAGATCTTTGTTACACACAGACAAGGGTTACACAAACAGGGTACAGCAAACCAGACCAGGGGATCATGGGTAATTAGGAGCGTAGATTACCCTAATGCCAGCTTAGGGAGGTTGGGTAACCTAATGCTGGCTTGGTTCTTTGTTACAACTAATGCCAGGGAAAAGAAATATACGCAATGATTCTGTGGAAAGGTAGGATGCAAGATACCGATAATACAGCGAAAAAGGCAATTTACAAGCAGGATCCGAGTAAAGTCACAAGAGGCTGAGACTAAATAAAGTGCGGGGGTCCAAACTATCCCTAGTACTATCCATGTGAGATTGGGTTTAACCACAACAGCTGCCTGATTGTCCCTGAATATGTCATTCCTGTTGCAATGGGCTAAAATAAAAATGATCTGTCTCCTTCATGTGTGCTATTGTGCTGGAAATATATCAGTGATCCTAGCTGGAGTGTGTCATTTGTATATGAATATCAACTGGGAATGCTAAAAGGAAGTGTGATAACTCTTAGCAAACAATCAGGTTTCAACTTTCATCAAGTATAAGCATATTTTTTTTTCTGTTAAAGCATATTTATCAAATATACTTTTTAAAATATTTTGAATAGAGAAAGCAATGGTTAAAATGCCATTGTTTTTTTTCTATCTGTGAGATTTCTCTTTACTACCTGTTGTGGAAAAGCTACAGAAAGTTTATGGAAACCTTTTCAATTTAAGTGGAAACCCTCTCAAATATTTTTAGTGCTGCTGCTCTATCTGTGGCCAGCCAGTGTAAAAATATATGACACTCACACAGCTCTGTCCCCCGCTGGCTCTCAATCTGTAACTGGCTAGTGTAAATATCTATTACACTCACACAGCTCTGTCCTTCTGCCGGTCCTTAATCTCTGCCCACACAATGTAAAAATCTATGACACTCGCACACAGCTCTGTTCTCCAACTGGCTCTCAATCTGTGACTGGCTAGTTAAACATTTATGACACTCACACAGCTCTGTCCTCCAGTTGGTTCTTAATCTCTGCCCAGTCAGTGTAAAAATCTATGACATTCACGGAGCTCTGTCTCCAACTGGTTCTCAGTCTGACTGGCTAGTGTAAAAATCTATGACACTCACACAGCTCTGTCCTCCAGTTGGTTCTTACTCTCTGCCCAGTCAGTGTAAAAATCTATGTCACTCACAGAGCTCTGTACTCCAGCTGGCTCTCAATTTGTGAGCAGCTAGTTTAAAAATATATGACACTCACACAGCTTTGTCCCCCTTATAATCTATGACCAGTCAGTGTAAAAAATCCCTGACATTCACACAGTAATGTCCCCTTGCTGGCTTTCAGTGTGTGTCCAGTCAGTGTAAAAATCTATGACACTCACATAGCACTGTCCCTAGCTGGCACCCAATCTGTGACCAGGAAGTTTAAAAATCTATGACACTCACACAGCTGTGTCCTCCTGATGGCCTTCAATCACTGGCCAGTCAGTGTAAAAATCTATGACACTCACACAGCTCAGTCTCCCAGCTGGCTCTCAATCTGTGACAAGCCAGTGTAGAAATCAATTACACTCATAGAGCTCTATCCTCCAGCTGGACTTCAATCACTGACCAGTCAGTGTAAAAATCTATGAAACTCACACATCTGTCTCCCAGCTGGCTCCCAATCACTGACCAGTTAGTGTAGAAATCTATGGCACTCACACAACTGTCCCCTAGCTGACTCTCAATCTGTGACCAGTCAGTGTAAAACTCTGACACTCACCAAACTGTGTTTCCCTGCTGGCTCTCACTCTGTATCCAGGCAGTGTAAAAATCCCTGACACTCACACAGCTCTGCCCTTCTGCTACAATAATGTAAATTTAACAATTTTTCTCAGGTGACAGTTGTCACTTTGGTTGTGTTTTACAATCCCCAAACTATATAGCCCAACTAAAACCCATCATCATTAAGGGAGTAGTTGATGTTGTGGGGCCCCAAAAATGAAACGGAAACTAACTCTAGAATGAATTTTTCCAGGTGGCGTGAAGCCCAATCAGATACCCCATTATACCTGGACAGAAGGGGAATCATCTCCAAAACCAACACCTATGAGAAGAAGTTCTGGGCTTTCTTAGACAAGCTGCCACCATCCCCAGCCTAAGTGAATTCTCTAAGTATTCCAAGCAATATTTATATTTGGCCCCAAGGTGTCCATATATAGAATGTTCTCTGAGTGAAGGCCCTACGCATTCGTACAGCTGCCACGAATAATGTGTCTAATATGTTTATTCCCCTATGATCTTCAGCTCAATCCAAAATTGCAACAATGTAGTATTTTCCTTAACCAGGAAAAAAACCTGTATTATGGCCAATAGATGACACTGATGATAATGGGAAATCAACATATTAAACTATTATTTGGGATGACTGTGTAAATGAGGCTTTCACATCTCCTGCTGCGGCCAGTGCAACGATCCTCTTCTCACCTTCGATAGAATATTGGCAAGCCATCGATCAAGTGCAATGCAGGTCTAGCGGTGGTTGCGGGTCGTGTGTTGTACGTGATGGTCAGTCAGTGACAGGGGCAGCGACATGACCGGCAAGAAAGAAGAAAGAAGGGGACTGGTCGGTACAACCGGAACTAGAATGGATGAAGCTTGGAGGACTGATTAAAGTATTTCTCTCTATTAAAGTCCCCGAAGACAAAATGAGCATTATGTCCTTGATATGCGAAAGAAGGGGGGGCAGATTTAATTTTTTTTTGCCAGTCCAAAATTGTACTTTAACTGAAAAACCCAGTCGTCCAAACAAAGTAATTCTGGCGAGGGAACATCTTCTATTGGAGACTCTGAGAGTAGTAAGGATATTGTGTGGAATCAGATCCTGCCCTGCTCCAGCCAAAATAAACAGACCTGTTTAGGGTGGAGTTGATCTTTACCAGAACTTTGTTTGAAGTCCCAACCTTCAGGCATTACACCCCTGAATAATGCTGGCCATACATTTTGGTTGGTTTCTGAAGAATCATCCGAAATTTGAGCTGTGGATGGACCTGTTGACACCCTCCTACCTGACATCCTTAAATCTGAAATTCGAAGGAGCTAGCAGAAAATTGTTATCCCAAAAGCAGCTGCACCCAATCAGATGTAGCTGCTGTTCAGGTATTCTGACAGCCACATATGCAGACTGTCAAAATACACTGACTTTAAGAAAGTGGAAAGATAGCGCTTGGCCTATGAGGATATCCTAATAGCATTGCTTTCCAACAGAATTATGTGGGTCTAGGAGGTAATCTGGTTACAGGGCAGGCAGCTTCTACATGGCAGGATCTCCACGGTGTCCTTGGTTTGTAATGCATTACAGAATATATAGAATATGATGCACCCAGCCACTGCACAATAGTCTACAAACAATCAAAAGGGTAGCCAGTGTGTTTTGAGGGTCTAAAAACGCCCCCGTTCATCAGGGTTAAGAATAGAAGACAATTTCGGTATTGATGGTGAAGATCTCATTATAGAGCAGGCAGCTTCAACAACCCTGAGCATGTCCATGATGTCCTTGGTTTGTAATGTACTACCGTATAAATAAGAACTGATGTGCCACACTACTGCTCAATAGGGCAGATACAATATTATTCCGGGAAACATCAATCAAATGGGTAGCCAATATGTTGGTATAGAAGATCTGGTTACGGGGCAGGCAGCTTCCAGATCCTAGGTGATCCTCAGTTTGTAATGTGCTACTGTATAAATAAGAATGAAATGCCACACCACTGCTCAATAGTCCATGTCCACTTCACCAGGCCTTGAATAGAAGACAATGTCGTTACAGATGATCTGGTTACAGGACAGGCAGCTTCCACACCCCAAAGGATCCTTGGTTTGTAATGCACTACTATATAAAGAGGAATTGAAGTAATACACCACTGCATAATACACCATCTGCATAATAGCCCATGCCCCCCCCAGAGGATTTTCGGTTTGTAATGCAATCAGGCCTTGGAATAGAATAGCACAATGTTGGTGTCAATGATCTGGTTACGGGAGAGGCAGCTTCCACACCCCAGAGGATTCTAGGTTTGTAATATGCTACTATATAAATAAACACTGATGTGATACACCACTGATCAGAATTCCATGCCCCCTTCCTCAGAACTTTTAATAAAAACAATGTTGGTGTTGATATTGGTGTAGAAGATCTGGTTAAGAAGCAGGCAACTTCCACACTTCAAAGAATCCTTGGTTTGTAATGTAATAGTGTATAAATAAGAACTGCAGTGCCACACCACTGCTCAGTAGTCCATGTCCCCTCCATTTGGGCTTGGAATAGAAGACAATGTTGGTGTTGATCTTGGTGTAAAATATCTGATTACGAGGCAGGCAGTTTCCACTTCCCTAGAGGATCCCTGGTTTGTAATGTACTACTGTAGTAATGAAAACTAAAGTGCCACACCAATGCTTAATAATCCATGCCTCCTTCATCAGGGATTTTCAGGTGGGAGGATCTGTACAAGTCTTGCCATCAGCTGGTTTGGCAGGACTATTGAGCTACGGTGTAATGCGCTTATCTATACAATAGCTGGTGAGACAGATTCCTCCATCCACATTGTTTAGCGTGGATGGGGAATTTGAGTTATTTCTCATGTTCAATGGCCAGCTCTGAAGAACAGTGAAATCTATCACATTGTCAATGGATATTAGGATTTGTTAGGAGGGAATTTATTTGGTATAACTTTGCAAAATGGCTCCTCTGAATTACCCATGATCCATGTATGCAGGCTACAAAATAACAACACATCAATATGGCTTCCATTATCCATAGAAAATATTTTGTTAACAATAAGATGATGAGGAATGACACACTTACTTCATTTTTTTTTTGTCTGAGACCATATTGGGACTATACACAATCCTGGCAACAATATGGTAACATTAGCATCAGAAACAAAGGGGGCCATGTCATAAATTATTCCAGTCACTAAAGCTGGTGCGGTTGACCACTTACAACCCATTACCTCTTTCAAAAAGCATCTGTAAAAGCCATACTGAAAATTCAGCAAGCGCAACTCAAAAAGGGTTAAAGAGATTTAAGTTCTGTGTCTATAGTGCCACCTAGTGGCCTCAGATCTCTGGCGAGCTGCATCCCATCCGCTGGCTTCATTCCTATACACAGTGCAGTCATAATATTCAAGCAAAAATCTTATTAAATGCAAAAAATCCCAGTGATTGTAGAATTGACCATCTGCTGTTTTCTGGCAAAAAAAAAATGGAAGGCTGTTTCACATGTAAGAAAATGTTTTCTTCCTCTAAAACATATTTTGCTCGTGCCGTAAGTACAGATATGGATTACTGTCTAGTTTTTTTTCTTTCCCATATGTCAGATATGGGCTGCGATGCTGGCTAACAGGATGATCTGTATAACAGAACAGGGATCTAAAGTGGTGATATTGGTTGTGCTTCTGCAGATGGGCACCATGCTGGTTTTCATTCTGCCTCGAAAATGTAGCTGAAGAGGATCCGGCCCAGTTGTCTGGAAACCTAAATACCAGTGGGATAAAAATGAATTCTGTGGACTTGGGTAGGTGCCACTGCTGCTTTTAGCAACCAATAATGTCTATATATGTCTGAGCTTTTATTCCCTTTGCTCCTCCATTGGCTGGGCATAGGCCTGTGCTGGTTCTCTTGAGGAGGGGTGGGGTAAAGGAGCTCCACTTGGCTTCATATGTCTGTGCTTTTGTTTATGACGATAACAAACACGGATACAAGGTAACAAATGCTGTGCGGGAGAGCTTTTTAGGGTAAAGGTTAGACAAACGTCCTTCTTTCTTTAATGCTTAGCACACCCTCGGCCTACGCGGCTTGAGGGCTTTAAGCTTGTGGACGAGATGAGCTGAACGAAGGTACCAGAGATGATCCAGCTTTCTTCTTCTTCTTTTCTCAAGGTCATTAATTCATCTTCTGGCCCCAAAAACTGCTCTACCCTGAGGCCCCTTTTTCCCTGCTGGGCTCCCACGGACGACCTCGCAACTGCTTGGCACGGTGGGTTTATTTGACTTTGCTGCTTTGGCCACTTCCACTGCTTCTTCCAGTCCACCTTGCCTCATAGCAGTTTTACCCAGCAGTTCTCGAAAAACATTGTTCATGTTCTTTGTCACATCCTGTAAACAATCCAAAGAGCTGAGCTGGTCAAAGGGGAACTTTTATTCAATTACATCAATGTATACGAAATTTGGCGTATGGATGTCTTAAGCATTCGCACCAGCGCCAAAAATGATATGATTATCGTAGATGATTATCTCCTACAATCGTCAGCTTGATCAAGTGGTCCAAATGCTGTATTTTTTTTTGTATGATCTTTATTTCCTTATAAATAATACCCAACAGAAACATATACAAACATGAATAAAGAATACAAAGAGTACATAAAAACAAATAGAACACTCATACTCTAGCCTGAACATTATTACATAAGTCCCATATACCATTGTATTTTTTTTTTCTACGATACAATAATAGGAGATAATCATCACGGATGAGCTTAGATGTGTTTGGATCCTAGTGCCAACTCATCTGAGTTACCCTGCCAGGAAGCTGTCATTGGACTCAATCATATCATATTGGAATCAATGCCAATCATAACGGGGATGTATATGTGCAGTTGCAGGGCAGGAAATACCTTGAACACCTAAAACTTGCAGTGTGCAATGACAGCCTCCTGGGATAGCTCAGGTGGGTTCAGACTAGAATCTGAACTCGCCTGAGCTAACTTCTGATAATTATCTCCTATGATTGCCAGCTCCATCTACTGGCCATAATGCAGTATTTTCCTGAAACACCTCAACAGAAAACATATCAAATTATGACCACTAGATGGAGCTAATGATCATAGGGATAATCATACTCCAAATAATATGGCAATCATTCGCTTGTTTTATACCTTCAAACAACAAATTTTTGTAATGCAGAGAGGCCCCATGTTACCAAATTGTACATATACTGTACGTTCTAATTAAAAGTTGTATTACAGACGTTATTATTTTCTTTGAAAAAATTACTGGTCCACCTCACAGCAGAACTACAGTTTCTAAAGTGATACCAGTTACTCCCAAGCAACTGTATTACAGGTCTGTGAGGTATAGTATAAAAAGGTCTGTAACTATGAGAAATAATGAAAGGCAGGCCATTATCTATGCTGTTCTGAGGTCACCAATGGACAAATAAATATCATAGCATAAAGTCAAATGGGATCCTAAACTAATGAGAATTTTAATGAAGTCTTGCCAAAATACTGAAGAAAAGTAAAAAGTCTTTATAAAATTAAAGCTGAAATTTAGGTAGCAATTAAAGTCCAACTCCATGAATTAGATAAATTCTGCTCATGCACTGATTCCCCCCTCTCCTCCTCACCGCAAAGAACTCAGCTCACCCCCCATGTTTTTTTTTCCAGTTACCTGTAGTGCTGCATTCTCTCTAAAACACATTCACCCAAACAGCAAATCCAACATTGTCCTGCTGCAATCTGCTCTTCAGGTAACATATACCGGGTCCCTCAGCGCCATCTTGGTCCTGCTCAGCTGACTACCTCTTACAGGTGTAGGGAACCAGCTACCAAAGACGTATAGGGTCCACTCATTGGCTGCTCTAGTTGTTCCTGATCCTGCAGCCTCCTGAGAGATGTGATGAAAGTATCTGAAGAGGCTGCAGGACCAGGTACACACCTAGGCCAGAATGGTCATGGGGAAGGGGGCCAAAGACCCCAAAACTTACCTCCACTTCAGCTTCTCATCCTCTTCCTCTGGCAATGCAGGCTCTGGGCAGTCCCTTGGCATCATTGCGTACAATACAGGGCCATTAATTCTGTATCGTAAGTGGAGGAGGCATTGACTGTAGCTAGGAGCGCCTTTGAGAGGAAGCCTTGCTGGGTCAATCACACCAGAGGAGGTGTCCTGTTCCAGTCCTCCTGCTCCCCTAGACTAAGTGAGCAGTTAACTCATGCACGGCGTAGCCAAAGGTGGGGAGAAGATGGGAGCACAAGAGTAGGTTTTGTCTAATTTCTGGAGTTGGGCTTAAAAACAACACAAATAGTTCTGTTTTGTTAAAAATATGTATAAAAAATCTGACAAATATTCACCCTTCTTACTCTATCCATTCTAAATTCAAAGCAGTGGCTTGGGTTGATATCTATAGCCATACACGTGGCCAATATTTTGTACGCCGTGACAGCTGGATTGTGCATGAGGTTATTAGGTGAACAATAACCATTACTTAAAAGTATTTATTTATTGTTCAAAAGAGATTTTCCAATATATTTTAGTATCTCTGCAATTCCTATAGAAAAGGAAAAAATCACATTTATCTGATTTGGTCCTGGCAGAAAACACATTCAGAGAAGGATGGTCAGATACCAGCATCCCTAAATGTGCCAGATTAAGCTTATTCAGACCTCAGAAAGATATGGTGTATGGAAGGAGGTGAACTGTCAGGGCCTGGAACGTCTGCTGCATCTGGTGATGCCTCTCCTTGCTGAGCCACCTGGAATGTGGACAGCTCCTTGGACAATTCCTTGAATGATCCTGCCTGGAACCTTGTTTGTCTTGACCCTTGGACCCTTTGCTCCTCTCATGAACTTCCTATTACTGCACTTCCTGTTTGCCAGATTATTGTGCTCTCTCCAGCCAATATCTTGCTCTTGTCACTCCTGCTGCCGTCCATATCTTCACTACCACTCATTACTGACATTTGGCTTGTTCCTTGACTATGCTTTTATTTTTTTCTGTGGGCTGAACTAACTTTTTTTCCCATCCAGACTAATTACTATGCTTCTTTTTTAATTCCTACCTCCTACCTGCTAAATCTGCTCCTAGTGAGGAAATCCTGAGGACTGCAACCTGGTACTAACATGCAGCAAAACCCATCTTTGAACCTCAGATGAGGCTGTGTCATTTGCCAGGGTGACCAGTGGCTGCACATACCCAGTGGTTGGTGGGAGCCTCTCTACTGCTGTAGCTACTGGCCTCCGAGTTTGACCCCTGATTGTGACACCAACTCCTTTGGCCTTCTATCAGCGACCTGAGTAGCTGAATACCTGCAGTGTCCCCCATATCTGGTGTCAGATATATGCTCTGGAAACCATCTATGAGGGTCCTGTGAATTGTCCTCGAGATACTGAGAAAGACATCTGAGTGCGTCTGGAGCAGGAAGGAGTGTGAAATGGTGGTATACCAACAAGCACTTTGTGAGGTCATATTACAGGGTAAGGAGTTTGGCCATCTTTTCTGGTGCTGGTGGCTGGTATGCTCTGCTCACATCCTGGCACAAGATAATCTGGATTTTTTGTTTGCACAAGCACTTTTGTGGATTTTTTATTATTCTGAATATAAAAATGACATTTTTGGGGACTTTATTTTAAACATAAATTGCACATGGGGTATTGTGGATTTAAAGGGACATTACCTATGTTTGATGTTTTGTGAACACTGCAAAACGCTTTACGTGTATGGTTTTAGATTATTAATATCTGTATGTGGGCATTTATGTTGGCAGCTTTCCATTTCCATTTTATTTAATGAGTTGTGATTTATAACACATTTTCACACATTTTGGGTAGGTTTTTGTGTTTATTAGCACAGAGTTTTTTTGGTTTTTAACTTCTATCACTACCACCACTAAATGACAGCCTTTCTGCTGGCTTGTTTCACATTACAGACAAGCCAATGGGTATCCCTAGTGATATCATTGACAAAATATATTAATATGTTAATTGTGTATTTTTAATTTTGCTCTCTGAGCTGCAAATTAGCCTTAAAAAAACTCCAGAAAAAATAACAAGATTGGGCTCCCTTAGACTTAAATGGGGCTCAGGCACTATGTTTGGGGTTTGTGGAATTCCTGCAGGGTTTGCCAAATGTCCAGCAAACCAAACTTTGCTCAGTACGCTCATCTTTATGAAGTAGTACTTGTTACATTTCTGAAGTTGTTTAACAATTTGTCATACATAAAAGTAAACCTGTTATGGGAGGAATACAAGGAGTCTATGAGCATGGCATACTGATACTTGGAAGGGAGTGACTTCTTTTGGGGACCCATTCATAAAGTATTAATAAAGGTGTGGTGGACACATACTGTTGCCCATCAGCTGTGTGACATAAGCCCAAAAGCTCTGGTGATAGTTATATATTTTTCTTTGCAGTAAACATTTGGCCAGGCTATGGACATTTAAGTATTTGTATACACTTAGCATGCAGTAAATGAGCTTCAAAACAAGCCCTTACAAACATCTGTTGCTGCAGGAACTGTGGAGCAATTCGTTCTCACATAAGAAAGGCACTGAAAGCTCATCCACTTTGATGTATATGACAGCAAGAGCTTGCCAGTATGCCAGGATGTAATTTAGATGCTTGTAAGGAACCCCACTTTAGAGTCTTGTTGTAGTATTTGTAAATAAATTTCTCCACGGTACATGCAGCCACAAAGGCCAGTGGCGTAAGCTTATTAGCACACGTGTGCATAGCCTTAAGGTGTATACACACACTACATTGCCAAAAGAGGGACACCCCTCCAGATCATTGGATTTAGGTGTTCCAATCACCTCCATGGTGTATAAAATTAAGCACTGCTTGACTACTTTTACAAACATGCGTGGTAACGTGATAGGTTACCACCTGTGCAATAAGTCCAGCTGTGAAATTTCCTTGCTACTCAATATTCCATGGTCAACTGTTAGTAGTGTTAAACAAAGTGGAAGCAACTGGGAACAACAGCAACGAAGTGGTAGGCCACGTAAAATGACAGAGCGGGGTCAGTGCATGCTGAAGCGCACAGTGCGCAGAAGTCGCCAACTGTCTGCAGGTCAATAGCTAAAGATCTCCAAACTTTGTGTGGCCTTCAGATTAGCACAAGAGTGCGTAGAGATCTTCATGGAATGGGTTTCCATGGCCGAGCAGCTGCATCCAAGCCTTACATCACCAAGTGCAATGCAAAGCGTCAGATGCAGTGGTGTAAAGCATGCCAACACTGGACTCTAGAGAAGTGGAGACGTGTTCTCTGGAGTGACCAATCACGCTTCTCTGTCTGTCAATCCGATGGATGTGTCTGGGTTTGGCGGTTGCCAGAATGGTACTTGCCTGACTGCATTGTGCCAAGTGTAACTTTTGGTGGAAAGGCGATTATTGTGTGGGGTTTTTTTTTCAGGGGTTGGGCTTGACCCCTTAGTTCTAGTGAAGGGAACTCTTAAGGCGTCAGCATACCAAGACATTGTGGGCAATTTCATGCTCCCAACTTTGTGGGAACAGTTTGGGAATGGTTCCTTCCTGTTCCAACATGACTGCGCACCATGCACAAAGCAAGGTCCATAAAGACATGGATGAGCGAGTTTGGGGTGGAAGAACCTGACTGGCCTGCACAGAGTCCTGACCTCAACCCCACAGAACACCTTTGGGATGAATTAAAGCGGAGACTGCGAGCCAGGCCTTCTCGTCCGACACCAGTGCCTGACCTCACAAATGCGCTTTTGGAAGAATGGTCAAATATTGCCATAGACACACTCCTAAACCTTATGGACAGCCGTCCCAGAAGAGTTGAAGCTGTTATAGCTGCAAAGGGTGGGCCAACTCAATATTGAACCCTACAGACTAAGACTGGGATGCCATTAAAGTTAATGTGTGTGTAAAGGCAGGCGTCCCTATACTTTTGGCAAAAACAGAACTGCCCAAAGAATAGCCAAAAAGTGGTTACTATTGATGTCCAGAAGAAGCTATGCTACGTTCTAGCAAAACGTGTTGACATTATCAATCACGTCACATGACGCAAACTTTCCTACATAGGAACCCTGAGATGATGGTCCCTCATGTGCCTGTGTCAGCATCCCAGAGTGCATTGAAGTGCTGACGGGGCAAGGAATGATTTCTGACTTGAACAAAGTCATATGGAACAGCAACCAACTCTCTAAGAGGACCGGACTGATATCTTGAGCTGTTGACCAGTAGTGGCTTGGCGGGTGAGCGGTAATGTATGTGCCGCCCTTCCTTGTGCAGTAGTGGAAACCTTATGGACACAAGGACATTCAATATTTGTTGGAATTTGGTCCAAGTGGACCAGAAGAAAAAACGGTATTACTAATTACTGAGTGCCATTTCTGGTTGGCTACCTGCCCAAAGTCCATGGTGTGTACAGTACACCTATATTCATCATAAACTGTAGTTGGACAAGCTGCTCCCCAACATTGTCAAGTGTATTCATCAAGTTCCTCACAGCTGAGAATATCTTATGTTTGTTCCTTATTGCACCACACTCCACGGGGACCTGTGTGATGAACTAACTTCCATAATCCCTTATGGGATATAATTACTCAGTGGATAAAGTTTCTCACACATATTGCTGCACTGACCACCTAGGGCCCGGCCGCGTATTTGGAGATGCCCTTTTGGGCCTCTACACACTTGGGCAATCTAAGTGCACTTGCATTTTTTTTACTTGATTGGGCCCACAGAAATCCCAGGTTCACATAAGGAGGCTACCTTATAAATTATTTCCTCCACTGCAAGCGGCGGATTGCCGTGGTTAGCTTTCCATATGTGAATCTATGTGAGTCCGGACATATTTTATTTTTAATTTTTGTTTGTCTGTTGTGTTTTGTCAATTTATGGTTTTCACTGTGTTGAATTTATGACTAATGCCTACATCCACGCTGGTGTTCTATTTATCCTTGAATAATAAAATTGTCAGTTTCATAAAACATATGGTACTTTAATTTTTCTAAGCGATACCTTTGCCCTATATTTGTCATCAACAGTAACCACTTTTTGCCTATGCTTCGGGCAGTTCTGTTTTTTTCTTCATGTTCTTTGGTTACGGTGACAAATGCTCAACTTATAGCGAAGTTGCATTGGTATATGCTTTAGAACTTTCATCAACATCAAAGGGTTATCCCCTTTTTTGGTATTAAGTCCCCATACTTTTGACAATATAGAGTGTGTGTGTGTATATATATATATATACATATACATATATATACATATACACACATACATACATACATACATACATACACACACACAGACAGGCACACATACAAGTTCTCCCATACTTCTCTTATGGCCGAGCTGGTCAGAGGGAAACCTTTACGTTCTCCATGCCAGCACAGAGCTGTCTTAATAGCCCCATGGGCCCCTGGGAAAAGCAATGCTCTGGGTCCCCTACTTAAGAGATGGTAACCTGCAGGGCACTTACCACGCTGTGGCAAAAGGTGGGTGTGGCAGGGGTAAGGGGCTAACTTTTACTGTCATAACTACAAATGCAGGTAGGATGGGTTAAAATTTTACTACCATGACCACTAATGGGGGGGGGGGGGGGGATGTCAGGGGCAGTGGAAGTTAACCCCCCCCCATCCCCCACCTGCATTGCGGGTTAACTTTCACTGCTATGACCAACATTTCCCACTCCTGCATTAGTGGTGATGTCAGTGAGAGTTAACCCCCCATCTACCACTCTTGCATCAATGGTAATGGAAATAATATTAACCCAGTCCTCAAATACAGCCCTCTCCCTCATTGTGATCACTTACAGTACACAGGTTTCCGAGCCCCCCTCTCCTGGCTAGGACTTTGCTTTTACTGGGGCACAGATAACTCTCAGAGAATAGGTGTTAGGAACTCAACACCGCCCCCACCGCACCACTGGCCATAAACATCACCACCCCCATAGGGAGACAGCATGCCGCATCAAATGGTAGGTGCAGCCAAACCACAAACTGTGGGGGAGATAGGTGACATTCCTCTTGATGAGGTTCTGTCTATTCCTACCCACAGCTCTGCTCTCCCCCATGGAAGAGAATCTGCAATTTACAGTGGAAGGTCAGGCTGCCAGAGGAGGCTTCTGGATTTGCTGCAGGCATGAGAGCGCCTGTGTGCATACCCCGCCCTGCCCCCTCCTCTGTTGTATATGCAGAGCAGGAAAAGTAGGGAGGGTTTTATGTGTGCAGGCAGGACAGGCTTCTGTGTTTATAAGTGAGACTAGTGAGTACTGATGCAAGTGGAGTTCCAGAGAGCAGAAGCCCTGCCACCCAAAGTGTAATATTCCATCCTCTGCCGGTTGCTGGTACACGAAGAAGGTTCCAGCTCCCGGCAACTGCTGCCACTCTGCATGTTAAGCGCTACACCATTCTTTTCTGTATGATTTCCAGAGCCCGGCACCCTGTTGCCACTCTGCATGTTGGGCATGGGGTGCCCAGATACGCACATCCCGTGCGCATGCCTACGCTTATTAGGAATCTGTTGTATAAAAACATGCATAAGCACGCTGCTAATAATAACACTGTTTGCTAAGAATAGTTTGATATCTATAGTTGGGTCATAGGTTCACTTTAATATATTGTTTTCTATTTTTAACATACATCTTAGAGTGCCAATTCAGTAAAAACACCATGGAGTGCATGAAGTGTGACGAATCATGTGAAAATGAAGACATGATCCGGTGTATTCACGTCACAGTTTTCACATGTTTAGTAAATGGGCCCTAGTGACAGTTATCTGGTGGGCGCTATTCTTTACCTTATCGACTTCTATGCTTTGCCGTTCACTGTGCCAAGTTTTAATTGCAGACGCCCCCTTTGGTGTGCTGTCGATCAGGTTCCTCCTCTCTCCAGGTAACCTACAAAAAAAAGTGTTAAAGATTAAAAATGAATCCATCCAATGAAAAATGGATATAATAATAATAAAAAAAATTGTTGTTGTTATTATTATTTTATAATAATAATAACAATAGTTTATTATTACTACTATTTATTTATTTTTAAATAATTTTTTTTTTTTTTATTTAGTATCATTATACATAGTTGGACTGTGCCTTATTTATCAAATGGAATTTTTTTATTAAATAAATCAAGGAGAGAAGTACTATTGCAGTAAGGTTTTAACCCCCCCCCCCCAAAAAAAAAATAAAAACCATTGCTGTAAATTCTTTAAAGTGTTAGCTGAATGGAATTTAATTAGTTTGTCACTTATTTAAAGTCCACCTAAAACTACATGTCTTTCTAAGGCTACCCTATCCACAGGGTGACAACAGTGCAATTTTACTGTAAAACAACTTGTTGTCACCCTGTTACAGGAAGTAGAGCAATAATGGATCTACTGGCAGGATCAACAGATCATAAAACTATGTCACCTGACTCATATGTCCTACAGTTTTCTCTGATTGTGCTCCTGCCCACCAGTGTAGTTGCTGGGACCTGCTGTCAGTGTGACAGCTCAGGTAGGTCCAAATGTGTGGTGCTGTGCCAGGGGCGGACTGACAATTCATGGGGCCCCGGGCAATAGGGAATCATGGGGCCCCTGTGTCCTTGCTAAAATCAAAGCACACCCAAAAAAGCCTATAAAAAAGGTACTAGGTGCATTTCATGGGGCCCCCTACTGACCCCGGGCCCTCAGGCAGTGCCCGAGTGCTCGAATGGTCAGTCCGCTCCAGGTGCTGTCAGCACTGATCATTTCAATAGGAGTTACAGAATCAGGGCTTGTTAAAATGTAAATAGATATAGAAACAATGTAATTAATTGCAGCTATTTACAAATTGTTTTTTTTACACAGGAGTTGCTTAAGCAAACCTGAAAGTTTTAAAAAAAATTAGTTTCTTCTTTAGTTAAAGCCCATCTTCAGGCAAAAAAAAAAAATCCCCAGCAGTGGGGCTGTGCCCGCACAGCATAGGTTACCTGCTTGTTTTTGTCTAGGGGTTGGGAAAACAGAGATATACTTACGAAATCCTCCGATCCACCCTGCACAAGACTGGTCCCTGTGCCTCCTAGTCCCCTCCCCCCGTGGTCTAGCGATCTTGTGTGGTGGACTGTTCCTGACATCATCACGCCCAAACACCTGCTCTGAACGTGAGAAAGTTAGGAACAGTCCACTGCAGGATTGTGGGGGAGCACCGTTTGCTCATGGAACGCAAGATCAGGTGAGTATAGAGCTTCTTCCTCTTCCCTGGACAAAACGACCAGTTAACCTTTGCAGTGCAGGCACAGCCCCACTGCATAGGAAAACATTTTTTTGCCCGATGTTGGACTTTAAAGTGGAACAAAAGCCTAAATATACCTATTGTTAAAAATGTTCCCTTCCCATCTCATGTACTTCTATCTATAAGTCTATGTTTCTACATTGTGAGAAGAGTTTCATAAATAAAGAATTAAAAATAAAGAAAAAAGTTTCCTCCCCTGTCTCTTACCCATCCTTCATAGCCTACCTATTTTAATCCACTCTGGTCCAGTAACCTGATACCGCAGCTCTGTGAGTGGCTGGTTTAGGGGATAGGCTGGGCCATGGGAGCCTATGGGTGACATCACGGCTCCCAGAATTTACACCCATTGAAGAGTGTTCCCTTGCACAAAGCTGCAGGATCATGTGACTTGAGGGGATTGAAAATAGATAAGTACTCAAATCTTTTTTTTATACAGGTTAGGCAGGAGGAGGGGGAGGAAACATTTTTAAGAATAGTTATAATTAGGCTTTTCTTGTAAAGGCTTGGCTTGGTTGTAAAGTTTTTTTGCCTTCATGCATTCTATGTATGTAGGTAAAAAACCTATGTGAAACAGCCTTCCCAGCCCCCCTAATACTTACCTGAGCCCCATTCTGATCCAGTGATGTGCACGAGAGCCTCCGCTCTCCAGAGACTCTCAATCCTGATTGGCTGAGGCAGCAACGGAAGCCATTGGATCCTGCTGCTGTCAATCAGAACCAGTGAGCCAATAAGGAGACAGAGGGGCTAGGGTGTAGCTGCAGCTCCTTGTGTGAATGGACAGACAGAGAAGCGGCCTATGAGCGAGCCTGCTCAGGTGCCCCCGTAACAAGCAGCTTACTATGGAGGCACTTGGTAGGAGGGAGGGACCAGGAGCACCGGCGAGGACCCTAGAAAAGGAGGATCAAGGCCGCTCTGTGCAAAACCATTGCACAAAGCAGGTAAGTATGACATGATTGTTTTTTTTAATTCTCTTTAATATCACTTTAAGAATTGAACTCCTTTAACACTTTCAGTTAATGACCCAGAACATAAATGAAGGACTTTCTTAATCTGTACACTTGGGGTTTAGTTATAAAATAAATTGCACAGCTGTTCATCCATGGAAACTTCATGTAAATTCATTCTGTGAGAATTGGGCAAAATCAATTGGTCTCAGGCTGCATTCTCTGCATAGTTAAAAACCAAAAATACCACAGCCACTATATGGAGCTGACTGTCATAGGAAATAGATGGTGCTGAGATGCATGCCATAATATGTTATTTTCTGTATTCACACATTTGAATTCCAGATAATATAGAAATATAGAAATAGAAATAGCAATGCAAATATTTTTTATCAATACACCCCTTTGTGATCGACAACCAGAAGAATTTCTGACATCTGCCATTTGTGATTCATCTATGGAGCAGCTTCTAAATCTTTAACAGCCTGAAAACTATGGGAGGTAGAGATTTTCTCAATCAGGGTTCATCCAGAGGTTTGCTAGGGGTTCCTTGAGCAATGAGAAATTGCTGCGCCCCAGAAAAGTTCCCACTGACACCATTGAAATTTTTAGCTTTCTGTAAGGGGGAAATTCTTTCCAATGAACACAGGTTTAAGGAACATTCTTCCCACTGACCATCACACTAATGTATCATGAGTTGTAGATATAGTCATTTTTAGCACGGGTTCCCTGAGAGTGGGAAGTTATTTCAAGCGTTGCTCTGCGTTAAAAAGGTTGAGAAGGGGCTGTTGTAAGGGGTGCTCCAAATAGTATTGCAAGAATTCTTACTTTGAAAAGTCCACCTCAAATTTTGTTTAATTGTAAACCTGCCTAACATTATTTACCTATGTTCCTATCCCATCAATCTGCAATTTTTACCTTTCAATATGACCTAGAAGCCTTGGTCCAGAGGGGGCCATTGGAAAAGGAAGTCGGGGCGCCTCCATGAATGGAGAGTTGAGCTTTCTGATGGGGCTCCCCTCACTGCGTTTTCTAGGAGAGCAGGCGCTGTCTGAGTTTACACGAACCCTGAAAAGTTGGTAATAAATAATAGTTCAATATATCATTATTAATACAGCTGAACTTGTTTTTTTTAAAGATCAGTGGTGAAGTGGGCACACTAAGCACCAAGTGCAATAAAAAAAAGAAGAGGACACAACAAAGTGAACCAAAAAAAAGTGCACAGCATGTAGACACGGTCCTCCTCTGAGAAAAGGGTAAATAACCTGGACCTGATCCCTCGGGGTGCAGGACTCCTGACAGGGACTTGGGTACACATGGTCCACCTGACCGAAGCTAGGCAGACTCCATTCTTCAGGGGACTTAGATAGTACTAGGCAGGGCTCCCACAATGGAAGACCCCATGTGTGGAGGAGAACCTGACCATAAGACCCCCTGCCCGCTTCCAAAGGCTTTCAGGGCAAGTTTTAGGATCTATACCTACTAGCAGTTAGTGAGTTAACGTGTAGTGCTGTGGTGCTAAGGTGTCAAAGTGCTAGACTATGGTAAGACAATTGAACTTGTAGGCCAGTTACAGGGATAAATCACCCACTGGCCTTTGAATTCTCTCTTGAGATGAGGTGACATGGATTTCCAGCTTCACCCATGGCCAATGCAATGGTAATTGCTGGATTTTTCATTCATTTTTACAACAGCATTAAATGTAATACAAGCTGGGAGAGAAGAGTGCATCCCACAATGACCACATCTTCCAACAGTCACAATTCTGGAACTAAAAAAGAATCAGTCGGCAAAAGCTGGCCATACACATTACAAGCCGGTTTTATAATCATTTTTTGACCAATAATTAGGTAGTATTAGGTGCACATGACTGAATATAAAATGAATGGACTGTTTACACCGGCCCTTGCTCTACATAGTTGTTGGCAAATGTAATATTGAATGTAAAGTTGAACAATTATCCTATAACACGTGTGGTCTCCTTCACAGAATTGACTTTAGCATCAAGAACCCAAAGTCCCATTTTTATATTAAGGTTGTAGGACTTGCTGGACAAGGTGTATTGTCCTGTCCTGTGACCAAGCTAGATTAATTATGAGCTTGGGTTCAGCAGAATCCAAAGGTAAGCTGTCATTGCTAGACCAATGAGCTGCAGGTGAGGGATTCCCCATCCTGCAGGTGCACATACGGTATGGATTTGTGTCTTTTTTCAACCATATTAACTAAGTAACCAACAATGTAATCAATAACAAAAGAGCGGGGATACTCATGACATCATTGACCTAATATGGCAACATGACCATATGAGGTTGATGACATTGACCTCACATGGCCATGTGGCCATGTTGGTTCAATGTCATTAACCTCATATTACCATGTGGCCATATTAGGTCAGTGTCATTGTTTGCATGTAGCCATATGGAGTCAATGATGTCACAAGCATCCCACCCCTTTTTTATGTGTAGGTGAGGGTTGTGGAGTCCTCTGCCCACAGCTCCTTGGCCCAGCAATGACAGTTTACTTCTAGGTTCAAACAAACACGTGTTTATTCCGAAGCCTAGCTTATCCCTAGGCAGTAAGCAGGGAAAAGTTTGCATCAGGGACCAATTCGGCAATAAAAAAACTAACAAGAGTTCTAGACGTCTACTGTACAAAGGAAAGTTTTTATTTCTCCCTGTTTTGCTGTTGGAGGTTTACCTCATTATTTTCTGGTGAAACTGTTGTCTTACTAACAGAACTCCAGATAAGAGAAAAACTCAAGATACACTTTAATGTTCCTTCTTTTTCAACAAAGTGTATATAATTTTTCCTTGTTTTGTGCACATGGCTCAGTACTGCTTCTTCAATCATCTTTCACAGACTGCTTACCTGCTGGGCTCAACCAAAATATCATCAGGGATAAGAGCTGTTCCTGCGTCCACCTCCTTCCTCAGTGTACGCTGTTCTAGTTTTTTCTCTGCTCTAGAATAAGAAAGAAGATATTGGAAAATTGTCACTGCTACCTATATTCTCTTGTATTAGCTCCAACGTCTCTAAGGCTGATCATAAACTATGTAGCACTACCCCCTTATCAGTTGCAATAGTTTTGGGTCCCCCTATAGTCCTGCACAGCCAGGCAACACGCATTTTCACATCCACTTGCATCCAGCAGTCAGTGACCAGTCCTTGAGATTGATGTTTTATTAGGGGATTTAGAACTTGGATAGGGTAAGGGGAGCATGGGATGCCCAATAGAACCGAGAAACCGAGGACAACTTCCTGTACTATGTACAAGTGGTTACAGCAAACAGTCTCTTTTGGAGAGCTAGCCAGCGCTTCCTGTAGTACCACCCCAGACCCCAGATGCTCCTCTGTCTGCATGTCTGAAGGAATCCCTGAGCTGGAGATTCAGTGCTTCTCACTTTAAAAGAAGACAGTCCTAGGTGGTTGCTAATCTGGTTTCCCACCAGAGTGCTCCTTCCCCTATCTGGCCCAGGGGGTGCAGGTTTACTCATTCAGTCTTTCTCCTGTGCCTTTTAGCTGGCCTGCTCCTTCCCTGCCTCACAGGTGGTCCTCTCTCAGAGGGCCAGTGAAGTCCTGAGCTTTCCTCTTTCCCAGGTCCTCTGTCTGCAGGTGAGCCCTGTTCCATCTTGGCCCCCTCATAGGCTCCTGTCTTCCAGCCTCACATCCTCCTCAACTCTCCTCCAACTCTCCTCCTCCAACTCCTTCTGCTGAGCAGGCTCAGTTACTCTTAAAGGCTGTCCTGGCCCTTTGCCAAGCCTCCTGTAGGGAATTGGCCAGGATCCTCTAGGAGCACAGACCAGCCACTCCTCAGATCTGCCCACTGCTTCTAGATCTTTCTCCAAAGTCCTAGGACAGTGGGAAATTCCAGAGGGCTGGTCTACAGAGCCTCTCAGCTCGGACCACAATTCGACCCCTGCTAGCTATCACACCCAGGCTGCAGACACCTAACTTCCCACAATGCCTTCTAGCTTCCATAGTGCCAACTAACCTCCTGAAATGGTTCGCAATGCCCCTCAACCTCCCACAGTGTACCCAGGCCCCCTAGGAGACCTCAATACCCACCAACCTCCCACAGTGCCTGCCAGCCCGCTGCAAGCTTTCTAGCCCCCCTCCCCCACTTAGTGCCCCTAACAGTGTCCCACAGTGCCCCCAACCCCCACATTACCCTCCAATCTACTACACTGCCACTGCAAAGCACCCAGCCCCCTTGACAGCCCAGTCGCTATCAGAGACCCAGCCTTCACAGTGGACCCCAGCTCCATCCAGAAGCCTGGATCTCCTGCATGGCCAACAAATCTGCTGCAGTTTCCCCTAATTCCCTACAGAACTTCCATCCTCCCACAGTGACACCCAGCCCCATTCAGAGCCTTCCAGCATTTCAATATATATTTTGTGAAAGTAAAAAAAGTTTTTTGTTTGTTTTTTTCTTTTACTGTTGGGGTACAGGAGGTTTAGGAAGAATTTCCCAGGCCTGGTCTCAATAAGGTTGACAACCAAAGCATTATATAATCTGATTGTACAATCTCCTTCAGCTCTACCATCAACTGTATTGCAAGGGCCTTCCTGGTTAGAAACTAATTGGATTGGTTGCTTAGGTTTGTTTCATATTTCATAGTTTTGGTAATTCTTAAGAAGACTGTACAGAGATTATACAATAACATTGCATAGTATATGGACAGCTTATGTAAAAACTCACTAGGACGATTATTGTCATCACTCACCCTTCAGGAATACTGATGTATTTGTGAGGGACTAATCCTCGCATCCCTGATAATTCCCCTCTCCACCAGTCCCCAGATGCTTTGCAGTGAAGTAAGATTGTGTCCCCCTTCTTGAAAGACAGCTCCTGCGGTGTCCGGGATGAATAGTCAAACTTTGCTGTGGCCTCCACTGTGTCCAGCTCTGGAAAGTACCAATGCAGTAACAGAAAGTTGCTAACTTGACCAGTATTGGCAAATAAACTATAACATGAACATAGGTATAGCACTGACACCTCAATCACCTTACTATGGAGGCAAATAGTATATTTACTATATAGTCTATATTGATGCCATACAGTACAATGCAGGATCAGCAGTCCTGCATTGTACGGCAGGAAAGCGAGTAATGAGAGCCCACCCACAACCTGAATCACTGGGCAGTGAAGGAGAGCGCCGGCTCCTGGGGGAACAAGGAATAAGGTAAATATTTGTACTTATTTCTCCTCTCTCCTAGTCAAATATTTAACCCGCGCAGTACGGGGGGGCATTGCATGGGTAGACTTGGAAGCAGCCTAGAGTTGGGTTTTAACCCTAAGCCTTAATGAATTTCTAGCCCTACATGCTAAAATGAATCTTAACACTGACCCTAAATCAAGTCCTTAACATTTAAAGATAACCCTAAAATGACTCCCAACACTTTATCCTACCCTTGATCTATCCATAAATTGGTATTACTAATTAAGCAGTCAGCCCTATTATAGGTTTGCTATGTGTTCCCATTTCTTACCACTGGGCTCTGGGCAGAGCGCCAGCTACTCTGAACAATATTAAAGTGAGTCTTTCTCCAAACAAAGTGAGGATAGACTGAGGTTCCCCTCAATAATATAAAATGAGGAAGCCAAGCTTCTAGATCTTTAACCCATTGTTAGGAGTGAGTGTTGAACCCTTTTCCCACCACCACTGTATCACTGTATGCCATGACAGCTGCAGCTGCCAGGAAATCTAACAAGCAGACTGTCAGCTGTCAGATGTAAGTGTTCACTTCCACAATTTCTGTAAGTGCCAGTTTATCTGTGATTTGTGCCCCGGTAGCTTCATTGGACAGATGAGATCCTGTCAACAAAAAAAATCATCACATAGGGGACTTTTTGTCCCTATATGGTGAAAAATAAAGTTTAGTGAAAAAAAAATGTAAAAGAATATGTAAATAATTAAATGTGTACACAAGTACTTAAAACATACATACACGTGTGTATGAATGTAAATACACACATGGTATATATTGCTATACATGCCAGAGTCAGAGCAATAATTCTAGGCCCATTATTCATGGGTAACCTAAAATTGATGAGCTGTAGAGGCTTTTAAAGCATCGCCTATGGAAAATATAGGGTACAGATGTTTGTCGCTGATTCAAGCAAAGTGTCACTAAACCCACAACAGTAAAAGCAGTCTGTAGATGCAGTAAAGCATACTTGTTATACTCACTGTGGAGCCTAAGGGGTTAATCCTCTGCATTGTGTAAAAATGCTGTTTGATCCTGTCTTCTCTGAATCTCCCCTTCTTCCAGTGTCCTCCTCTTATCTCATGATAAGACATATTGTGTGGAGACACTCTGTACATGCTCAGTTTGGTGTGTATTGCTAGAGAATTTTTTTTTCTGGGGGGGAGTGCATGTGATCAACACAGGGCCAATCAGCACTGTCCAGACAGAGGTCAGGGGTTCTGCATCCTCCTAGAGCAGATTGCAAACTCCTACAAGCTTTAACCAGTGCTCTGCTGTACACTGATAGAAGTCACAAGACTGCAATATACCGCTGATGAGAAAAGGTATTTATCAGTTTATATTTACTAAAATAATTGCATTTCTATGTTCTGTACTGAAGAAAAACCAGATATAGTGAATGATGCAGGGCCTGGGTTTAGTAACACTTTAAGCCTTGACAACAAATTTGGTAATCTATTGTACTTGTATGCCCTAAAATTAACTTTACACCCCGGTCACATGGCATGAGACTTGGCATGCGATTTGCATACCCTGCGACTAGAAAATTTGGTAATCGCACCCTATTGTCCGCTATTAGAGCTGTCATATCGGTGTGGTTCCAACTTGGTCAGAGCTGCACTGAATCCTAAAGTTGTACATGCATTACTTTTGTTGCGATTTTTCATAGACATCTGTGTCAGATGTCTTGCAAATCGCAAGTGAAATCGGCAGGTCACCCAATTTTGAAATCGTGCGACTTCACTGTAAGTCGTATGGTTTCAAAATCGGCTTTGATGTGACTGGAGGCTTAGTATATTTTTTTACTGAAATTTACACTGTTGCACTAACATTATGGGATATAAACAATTGGAACTGCCACTATTTTATTCTCTAGGGTCTCTGCAGAAAATATATGTTTGGGGGTTTTAACTAATCTTCAGGGGGTTAAAATTACTTTTTTTAAATCTGTGCAAAAAAAAAGGCTCTGGCAGCGAAAGAGTGAAACCTCATTTACAACTGATAATGAGATCTGCCAGCACAGTAGAAACAGGTTTAATTATGGCAAACATTATCTCCCCAGCCACCTCCTTAACATTGCATTACAGAGTAAATCAGTTGGGGCATTTTCAGAAAAGAGAATGTAAAAAGGAAGGTATGCTACATGAATGAGAACATGAAGCAAATACAAAGCTGGCGTTATCTCAGTTTGACTACAGAAGTGAAGATATGCTATAACACTTAGGCAGACCATAGCTGATGCGGGTTGCAGGAAAGAAAATTGCTCAATTCCCCCATAATGCAGTCAGTGTTGATGGGGGAATCCCTCCTGTGGAGAACAGGGGGGAGGACACAGTGGGGAGAATGGAGTGATAATTGCTGGAGGCTATAACTGCTGGCCATTATTGCATGTAAAAATCCCACAGGCTGGTTGTACCCAAGTCGATCGATGGATCGACTTGCCTACAATCAGCCTGCTCAAAGATGGTTTGAATCTTGGCCAGTTTCTGTTGAACCGGACGAGATTCAAGCCATCTATGGCCGGCTTTAATGCAATAGATAGATAGATAGATAGATACTTACCGTCTTCACTGACACCCATTTCTTGGTGCATCTCCTGGTCACTTTCTTCAATGGTGACTTCCAGGGCTAATGTGTCACTGCAAGAAAAATTGCAAAAATGATTTTAGAAGTAATAAAGAATGATATTCTTTAATTCAGACAGCAAAGCAAGCAAATGACTATATGCGCACTATACAGTCAGGTCCATAAATATTGGGACATCGACACAATTCTAAAATTTTTGGCTCTATACACCACCACAATGGATTTGAAATGAAATGAACAAGATGTGCTTTAACTGCAGACTGTCAGCTTTAATTTTGAGGGTATTTACATCTACAACAGTTTGCATATGTGCCTTCCACTTGTTAAGGGACCAAAAGTAATGGGACAATTGGCTTCTCAGCTGTTCCATGGCCAGGTGTGTGTTACTCCCTCATTATCCCAATTACAATGAGCAGATAAAAGGTCCAGAGTTCATTTCAAGTGTGCTATTTGCATTTGGAATCTGTTGCTGTCAACTCTCAAGATGAGATCCAAAGAGCTGTCACTATCAGTGAAGCAAGCCATCATAAGGCTGAAAAAACAAAACAAACCCATCAGAGAGATAGCAAAACATTAGGCGTGGCCAAAACAACTGTTTGGAACATTCTTAAAAAGAAGGAACGCACTGGTGAGCTCAGCAACACCAAAAGACCCGGAAGACCACGAAAAACAACTGTGGCAGATGACCGAAGAATTCTTTCCCTGGTGAAGAAAACACCCTTCACAACAGTTGGCCAGATCAAGAACACTCTCCAGGAGGTAGGTGTATGTGTGTCAAAGTCAACAATCAAGAGAAGACTTCACCAGAGTGAATACAGAGGGTTCACCACAAGATGTAAACCATTGGTGAGCCTCAAAAACAGGAAGGCCAGATTAGAGTTTGCCAAACGACATCTAAAAAAGCCTTCACAGTTCTGGAACAACATCCTATGGACAGATGAGACCAAGATCAACTTGTACCAGAGTGATGGGAAGAGAAGAGTATGGAGAAGGAAAGGAACTGCTCATGATCCTAAGCATACCTCCTCATCAGTGAAGCATGGTGGTGGTAGTGTCATGGCGTGGGCATGTATGGCTGCCAGTGGAACTGGTTCTCTTGTATTTATTGATGATATGACTTTCTGACAAAAGCATCAGGATGAATTGTGAAGTGTTTCGGGCAATATTATCTGCTCATATTCAGCCAAATGCTTCACAACTCATTGGACGCCACTTCACAGTGCAGATGGACAATGACCCAAAGCATACTGCAAAAGCAACCAAAGAGTTTTTTAAGGGAAAGAAGTGGAATGTTATGCAATGGCCAAGTCAATCACCTGACCTGAATCTGATTGAGCATGCATTTCACTTGCTGGAGACAAAACTGAAGGGAAAATGCCCCAAGAACAAGCAGGAACTGAAGACAGTTGCAGTAGAGGCCTGGCAGAGCATCACCAGGGATGAAACCCAGCGTCTGGTGATGTCTATGCATTCCAGACTTCAGGCTGTAATTGACTGCAAAGGATTTTCAACCAAGTATTAAAAAGTGAAAGTTTGATTTATGATTATTATTCTGTCCCATTACTTTTGGTCCCTTAACAAGTGGGAGGCGCATATGCAAACTGTTGTAATTCCTACACTGTTCACCTGATTTGGATGTAAATACCCTCAAATTAAAGCTGACAGTCTGCAGTTAAAGCACATCTTGTTCGTTTCATTTCAAATCCATTGTGGTGGTGTATAGAGCCAAAAATGTTAGAATTGTGTCGATGTCCCAATATTTATGGACCTGACTGTAATATAGACAGAGTGACTGATCATGGTCACATTTTCTACTCACCAGTATTCTTCATCCTCCTCCTCCACTGTCATACATTTCTCATACACAGGGCCCTCCAGTTCTGCTTGCCCTGGGAATACCCGTTCTTGATAAATGATAATAGACTTTACAACCTCATTGACGTGAGCCTGAACAGATACTGGATCCTGCCCCTCTGGGATAGAAACCAATGTAGGGCCAAAACACACAGCCAGGTTATAGGGGTCCATCATGTTCTCATCACTGTATTGTGACAAACTTGAGAAAACAGAAACAGGAAAACAAAGAAGTGGACCTGTCATTTAAGAGTTAAACAAAAACAACCAGTAAAGAATCAGTTATTCGAAAACCTAGGATTTTCCATCAATGAAAGCAGAAGGGGTGACACTACATGGTGCTGGGGGTGTGTGTGTGTGTATTTTCTTTGGTAGTATAATGGTCTTTGAAGTTCTATAGCCTGATCATACCGAATACCCTCTCTGTATTTAGAGGTTAAATCCTCCAGATCACGGGTGTCAACTGGCGGCCCTCCAGCTGTTGCCAAACTACAAATCCCATGAGGCATTGCAAGATTGACATTTACAGGCATGACTCCCAAAGGCAGAGGCATGATGTGACTTGTAGTTTTGCAACAGCTGGAGGACCGCCAGTTTGATATCCCTGCTCCAGATGTAAAGAGCGCTCCCTTGTCCTCTGTAATTAACTGAAAGTGAATAACTCAGTACCAGGTTCACTATATGGACCACCTTTTTTTTTTTTTTTTTTTTTAACAGCCTACAAAATGTTTCCATACTTTGCACTTACAACAGCATCAATTCTTCTAGGTACACTTACACATAGTTTTTTTAAAGCAAAAGTCCTTACAGTTTAAGTCGCATCATTTACCTGTAATGAAGGATGTGCCAGGTTGTTCAGGCAGCTGGATCCTGGAAAAAAAATCTTCAGTGCAGGGCTGCCAGTCCTCTTCCTGCTGCTGAACTTCTAGCACTGCAGGTTTAACAGTTTTGGGTCTTCAGACAGCTGTACAGATAATCTGATGGGACCCCCCCCCCCTCCCCTTTCATCCTTCTCTATTGTTACACTGCTTGTAACACAATCTGTGAATGGGGCAGAGTCTGATCAGTCAAGATATTCCACCCCGCCCCCATTCACAGATATGTTTAGGAGGAGAATGAAGGGGACGTGTCTTTGTCAGATCATATGTACTGCTTTTTCATCCGAAGATCCGCTTCTGTTAAGCCCTGCAACACCAAAAGTTCAGTGCCAGGACGTGGACCAGCATCCATGAACACAGGGGATTTCACCAGGATCCAGCACAGCATGGGACATACTACAGGTAAGTGATGTGACCAAAGTAGTAGACAGTTTTTTATGTAGAGTTCAGCTTTAAGGAACTCCACAGGTGGGTTGTTCCAAACATCTAAGAGAACCACAGATCTTTTGTGAATGTAGGTAGTCTCAGTTTCTTCTGTCTCTTCATGTACTCCCAAATAGAATCAATGGTGTTGAGATCAGAACTCTGTGGGAGCCATCCAAATCTACCAGGATCAGTGCTGGGACAAGGTCACCTAGTGCCCAAAGCGAAGATCTCATACTGCCCCCGGCAGGAAGTTGAGTGGTAGGGCGTTGGATGCATCACACCTCACTGAAAAGGATGTAACATTCTATCCTGAAGTAAATTATGGGGCTAAAAGTGACAGAAAGAAATGCCCTGGTATTCATGTAGAGTTCAGCTTTAAGGAACTCCACAGGTGGGTCTTTCCAAACATCTAAGAGAACCACAGATCTTTTGTGAATGTAGGCAGTCTCAGTTTCTTCTGTCTCTTCATGTACTCCCAAATAGAATCAATGGTATTGAGATAAGAACTCTGTGGGAGCCATCCATATCTACCATGATCAGTGCTGGGACAAGGTCACCTACTGCCCAAAGCAAAGATCTCATACTGCCCCCGGCAGGACGTTGAGTGGTAGGGTGTAGGAAGCATCACACCTCAATGAAAAGGATGTAGCATTCTATCCTGAAGTCAATTATGGGACTAAAAGTGACAGAAAGAAATGCGCTGGCATTCGTGTGAGCAATAAAATGGCCCTGTGTTGGTAGTGTCACTGTAAGGGCCCATTTGCAGTGCCCACACTCTAAACTCTAGCGGTTTAGTGTACAGCAGCTCTCCTTCAAAGCTAGAGTGAGCTAGCAGTAGGGGGTGGTGTGATGTTCATTTCACTGCATCACTCAGTTACCTTTTATCGACTCAACTTTAGTTGATATGCACTAAGTGACACTTCATTCATGTCACTGTACAGCAGTATGGCGCATTGTGCTGCTGTACAGTGATGTGCGATCCCTTCCTGCTTTTTATCAGAGCTCTGTGCATTGCAACCTCTGAGCTACATTGCAGTGTGAACAGGATACATAAAAAACAATTGTTTTCTGTGTGTCCTAGTGTTGACCTGTATTCATCCAGCGCAGGAAACGTAGGTCACTGCACTATTTGTGAGTAGGGCCTTAATTAGAAATGCACCTACATCTGTCATGTGGGCATTTCCCGGACGGGTTGGACAAGACTTCAATAAATGCACAATCTCTTCTCATAAAGGCCCTCTCTTCGGCAGAGAGACATGTAAAGCCCAACTGCATGGGCTCTACTTCAATGGAGGACTCAGGCCCAGGAGGCATGGGTGGGAATGCAAAGCTCGAAGCCAAATGTACAGGAGGCTGCAGCAAGTGCAAGGTTTCTCTCAGAATCTGGTATCAATGAGAATGGCAAACAAGATTAACTCGTCCAGATTGTTAGGTATATCTCATCTTTAATGTTATCAGAGAGGCCATGGGAAAAAAACACCCACAAGAGCCTCATTGTGCCTCATTGTAATCACAAATAATGAAGAAATAGTGAAGCCTACTTTGCTTCTGTCCGTAGGGATCGTCTTGGGCTGCATCTCAAAATATATTCCAACCTGGTTGAGAAACCCTCTGCAGTGAGCTGGATCACCCCCAAACAGCTGGGGGAAGTGAAGCAGAACCAGTCATACTTCTTACAGTGGTAGTATCAGAGGCTGCTGCCTGAACCGAGATAGAAGCAGCAGCAGGGATGTCTTGCAACACTGTTTGTAGTGGAGCAGCCAGGGGTAGGAGGATTCAGATGAGAAGTTATTATTTAGGAGCCTTTGTAATGCTATGGCAAACTGATCCAAGTGGTAGTCCTGCTCGTCCAATCGGAAAAAAATATTACGGCTAGGTGGATTGTCTGCATTTTCTGAATTTATGGCCCTTTGCATAATGTCAAGAACCATAAACCAGACGGAGACAGAAAGTGTAGTTCAAATCACACCTTTAATGAAATAGCAAAAATAACACAGTACAGGAACGTAGTCAAAACAGAAGCCAGTGTTTGGATGCCAGAGCGGATAATCAGATAAGCCAGAGTCAGGAAACCAGAAGTCAGTGTAGTCAGGAGCTAAAAATCAGGAACAGGAACAGCCAGACCGAGTTGTACACAGGAACACAGGCAGGAACACACAGCAGATCACAGACCATGCAAGGGCAAGGAGGAAATGAGCTAAGCTGCTAAAATAGCAAAAAAGGACTGTCTGTAGGGTGGACTGATAAGGTAGGTAATGGTATTCAGGTGAGTCACACTGTGAAAACAACAAGTGGCTGGTAATTAACCGAAACTGAGCAGCTTCTGAGCACTGAAAGAAAAGAGCTGCTCGTTAAGTAGCAGGAGCTCAGCCCTGAATACCTGGAGACAAACCAGTGAAGGTTCAGGATCCATCTGAATCACTAAAATCTAGCCAAATGGTCTCTCAACAGGATGTTGTCTAAATATCCCACAATGAGGATGTTAGGAAAGTGCAGCAGGGCTTGTACCACTAAGGCTAGTACCTTAGTGAATACCTGAGGTAAACACAAGAGGTAAAAGGGCAGGGCCATAAACTGGTTATAAGAGAAACCCACTGCTAAGCACTGAAGTCACTGATGCACTGCAAAGATGGAAGACATGTAGCTGAGCATCTTTGATGCCAACAGAAGCCAGAAAGCCTCCCTGATGAATGAAGGAGATGACAGATTTGGTAGATTCCATGTGGAATTTTTGGACTCAAATGAAGATGTTTAAAGCTTTGAAATCCAGAATGGAGTGAATGCCCCCTTTGGGCTTGGGAACGGTGAACAGGTTGGAGTAAAACCCTTGGAACCATTCTGTCCCAGGAACTGGGGCAATGTCTCTCTGATCCAGAAGTCCAAAGAGTTCTCAGTGGGGATCTGCTAATTTGTTGGTGGCTCAGGAAGGTTGGAGGTGAGAAACTGAGAAAGGGCAGGTGGAAAAACTTCAGTTGGTAGCCCTGGAAAAACCATTTCCTGCACTGGTAACAGAAGAGATTGTACCTTGGGCTGGCCTACAACTTTGCTTGCCAAAACAGGTCAAAGACTTCATGTGTTCTACAGTGGTCATCAAAGAATTTTTTCCCATCAATACTCCTTTTGCTAAGTACGTGAGGGCCCACATCATTTCTAATGTCTCTGCATGTGCATCCAGGCCCCTTTTATTGACACGGAGTGCAGGTGTCCACATTTAATATATAATATAATATATTAGACTTTTAAAAGGTAAGAATTTTTATACAGGGGTTCCACACTGCAATGTCTATCTTCATTTCATTGACTTGCCAATACAGATGGAAAATACTACATATCTCTACTATGGATGTGTAAAATTTAAAAAAAGCCAGTTGATTGTCTTTGTTAGCTGGTGGAATTATCTCTGAAATCAATAAAGTCATGATCACCGTGTAGCCTCACTTAGAGTAAGTATTTTATTGCACAGTAGTGATCTCTTTATGGTCTAATGATAAAGAATAGTCAATAATCCAATGAAGTATGGCAGGCCTTAATTGCATGCCAAATGCCCTGGGGAGGGGGGAAAGTGGGTAATATACTGTATGAGCATGGGTGTCTCTAATGCCTTAAAAAGCCCAATGCCGTGTGCCACAATCAAGCTACCAGTGAATTTTGTCATTGTATTAAAAAGTTCTGTTAAAACAATCAATAATCACATAAAGGAAATACATTTTTCCTTTTCCTAAATTCTTTTTTATTCACTTTTATTGTGGCTTTGAACTTGTTGGAAAATGTGACTACTGCAAAAAGAGTAAATTCCCTAACACAGACGTCTCCCTTCTTGAACATCATAGCCCTCCACCCCTACCTTCACCTCTTTACATAACCTTTTATATAGCTGCTGCTTTTATGTAGCACCTGCACATACTGTATGAGAGGATTTTAGTTAAAATGAATGGTGACAGGGTCTCTTTACAGATTATAAATACCAGCAGAAGTTCTCACTTTGAAACCCTGTTGTAGCTTCTTCTAGTAACCTTTATTATTTTATCTTCAGATACCCTCAATTTATTTAAACTAGTTAGGCTAAAGTTGAGTTCTCGGAAAAGGACAGATCTCTATCACCTTAGAAATATAGGAAAAAACTGAGGACTCCAGAGTGAGGGAGGGTTATAAGGGAGGCGCCCACGTGGCATGTCCTCAAAAACCTTGCCAATCAACTGAATTTAAGAGCCTGCAACCCAAGGTCTATGAATACTCAGCCTGTGTCCTGTACTGTACAATTAAGATAGTTAATTTCATGTCTTTCTTTATTTAATGGTTTACAATGTCATCCCTATATGCCCCCTGTCCATTTGCACTCTGAAGATTATGTAGCACTAACCCCCAGAAGGACAGCTAAGGATAAACAGGTCACACCATCTGCCTCCCAGGGGCAGCAGCCCCAGGAGAAGTGAAGCTCTTGTAGAAGCCACCATCTCGATACCCCTTTCCAGGGATTGGCTAAGGCATGATAAATATTTGTAACTGGATATTTGACTCTCTGCCCTATTTCTGAAAGCTTCTCCCAGAAGCAGGAGGGAAAAATCAAACACCCAGCTTAGAAAGCCCTGACCAGACAAAAACAATAGATTACTGTTCCACTAACTACAGTAAAGCCAACAACTAAATTTAGCGTAACAGCCTAACCAGAGAAGGGCGCTATATCCAGGACTGCTATCTCCAGAGCTCAGTGACAACTACTGTGCTCCAACCAACAATGCTTATGCTCCCTGAGGAGCTTGCTGAATCGCTAGTAAAATGAATGAATAAAGACATTTAAAACTTGTGCTTCAAGTTATTTTCCCCGTTCGGTGAAAATCAGTCAGCACAGTATGCAGGTAGGGATGGTCCCGCTAGAACGTTTAGGCAACATATCACCCTAATAATATAAGGCTTGTTCTATATGGTTTCTTTTAGCTTTGTGTACGTACTGTACTCCAGACTGCAATCCTTGAATTCAACCATGGTTCATTGAGAAACATTCATGTTCAAACCCTTGCCACCTTTCATGATTGACATCCCAGCCGCCCAAATAATTTCTGGCTGGTTTTTGCCGCCATCTTGCTTTGGTACACATTACAATTTAAAGCTGAGCAGAGTTCATTGACCGGTCATTGCCGTCTGTACTCCTGGGTTACTTACTGGTTTAGAAAGGCAAAGAGGTATCGTAGTACAAGTGTGACAGTGATGGGCAGCTGTAGCACCAGCTTCTTTAGGTGAGCTACTCTATCTTGTGTCTCCAGCTCTGCAGAAAAAGAAGGACAGTGAGATGACACATTCTATTCATAACAAGTCATTTATAATGCATAGAAAAAGAATGTTGAAAAATTATTTTACTATAGCCAGGGCCTTCCAGCGGGAACGTGGGGGAATGCAGTTCTGGTACCTCCAGCACTGAATATATGTAAAGGTAAGGGGTGCTGCAGGATCAGTTGTTGCTGGCTGTTGGGGGATCTATTGTCACTGAAGGGGATCTATTTTTGTGTGGTGATCTATTGTTGCTGGGGAGGTCTATTGTTGCTGGTGGTGGATCTATTTTTGATGGGGGTCAATTGATGTTGGAAGAGATCTACTGCTGAGGGAGGTGTCTATTGTCTCCTGTCGCTGGCGAGTCTATTCACGCTGGCTGCTGGGAGATCTGCTGTACCTGCTGGGGGTCTATTTTTTGCTGGAGGAATCTGTTGTTGCTGGGGGGTGTCTATTGTTGCTGGCTGCAGGGGATCACTTTTTCTGCTTTTCTTGTTATCATTAACAAATTTCATAGAAATTATTCAGCACCACAAAATGACTCTTGGCTCTGTATTCTCTAGAAAGAGCCATACCGGGAATTGGGTAGGGTGATGGAGACATAAAGTGACTCAAGGGGGAAGTTCCCGCACCTACTTTTTTGAGAAAAAAAGCCCTGACTATATCAATATAAGGACAAGGTCCCCCTGGCAAAGTGCCCCCCCCCCCCATGTCAACATGTGAACCGGTTTGCTTTGGTTTGGGGGGAGGGCAAGCTCCTCCATCCTTTCCTGGACAGCCATGCTGAGATAAGGGTCTAGTATACATTTGGGGGAAAGGGGCAGAATTCTTTTTTTTCTTGTTTTTTTGCACGTTGTGCCCTCAGGGCTTTCTCAAAGCCTTGACGGTGCAACGCGTGAGGCTAGCGGTGAGGTGATTACGGTGAATGGAGTCTGAATGCCATATATTAGTATTGTTTTCAACAAAAATCTGTGTCTTTTTGCTTCCCATATTATATTTTGCCACTGGGAGACAGTCTGTGAGGAAAGAGGAGGACAGGAAAGGGGTTACTGTTGTACACATGTAAACAAAGTGCAGTTGGCCTCCTTTCATCAGTGGGATCCAACAATTAAGGTGAGCTGACACTCATAAGGTGGGGTGAAGGGCACTCTGGTGTGCATGGTTTGGCAACTGGCGCTTCCTTGCACTGTCCGATGATCAAATTAAGTGCAATAGGAGATTGCTCGGAAATTGAATTTCTTTTTTTTTTCTTATGGGATTTTTTTTCTACCATTGTTGAACTTTATATTGACTTTGGAATGAATATATTTATTATCACTGTGACATATGGATTGGTTATGTTTATTTATTTAATCATTTACATGATTCAGTGCACATTCTTTGCACATTTTTTGTATTGAGGTGTGGTCCACTCATTGATTTAATATATCTTAACATATTTATATATATTTATACATGTATCTAGATAGTGTTTATAATTTATTGATTTGGGGTCTTTGTACTGGTTTGTAATATATATTTTTTTTCCTGTTATAGTGTGTTATAGTGTGATAACTGCACATTTTTTAGTGATAGCTGCTTTCCGATTATTTTTCTTTATTTTTTATATATATTTTTGAACAGCGCATAGGGTTTTTTTAGTTATATATACATTTATGGTTATCCATTTTCTAGGTGGGCTTATTTGTGCATGGGCTTTAGGAGAGGCTTCCTTCGTGGACAAATCCCATGAATGCCATTTCTCTGCAGTGTATGCTGTATTGTGTCACAGGAAACAATCACCCCAGTTTGGCTTTCTACTTCTTTAGCTAACTGCAATGAATTTGCATGGCGATTTTTATCAACCCTTCTCATCAGAAGATGCTACTGTTGAGGTGTTTAACGTCCGTGGATGGCCTGGATGTCTCTGTGAGATGGTTGCAGTTCCATCTTTGTTACATTATTGCATTATTGTTTCACTTTTGCTATAGTATTCTGCTAATCTTCTTGTAGCCTCCACCTTTCTTGTGTTAAGAAATTATTTTCTTTCTCAGACCTTGTGACATTTCTCTTCCATGTGGTGCCATTGCTGACAGCATGAAATGGGAAGGGGCTTTCTTTAAGTAACACCCTTTTAAAAACAACTGTTTGCTGGACATCCGTTTAATGAATAATTAAACTTACCTGTACTTGAATTGTTGTTAATTAGGATTTTATTATCTAGGAGCTTTGCTCCTAAGACTTTCATTGGGGTGTATTTATTTTTGCAACATGATCTTGAATGAATGTGTTAGGAAACTTTTTTGTGTGTGAAAATTAAAAAATCTTGTTTGCAATCAATGGCCCACATTTGTGGGAGTATTTTGTAATATAGTGTCCCATAAAAAATGTTGATTCTGAAAGGAAAGGAAAGGTTTCCTGACAAATCTGTTGGGGTGTACTTATTCATGCTGAGCACTGTGTGTGTGTACATATATATATACCACAAACACACTTAAATACACTTACTGATACTTATTTAGCAATTATTTATATTCAAATGATTGCACCGGCATATGTAGGGAAAACCCTATAAAAAGAGCAATCCACTAAGTATGTCTTGCAACCAGTTCGATGTGTCACATATCATTGTGATGAGTGAGAGCAGTTCTTGGACAGTTCACCACGGGTCACAGTACATCATTGCTCTTTGTACCATATCATTAACTGGTCATTCCACCAAAAACTGGCATTTTTTTTTTGGTGGGTTGGAATTACTCATTGCCTTCTTCTAGCTCTCTTGGACTCCCGTGGTGAAGTTTCCTACTTAAGTTCCCAAGTTTCGGTCTATGCCAGTGAGTGAGTCAGTTCAATGGCATCTATAAAAAATCTCTAGTCTATATTAAAGATCCTCCATTTACTCATTCAAATATGATATAGGGATATGCACTCACGGAGACAGTACAGCAGATCATGAAACATTTCATTAGGAAATAGTGGCTTTTCCAGGCCTCTGAAGTACAGTTTGAGAACCCCGGCTACAGAATCCACATCGTTTGCAGTGTAGCTGGAGTCCAGCGGTTCCTCACCTGGTAGAAAAAAAGGAACACCAGGTTAAGTGAGAACTCTACTCAGGGCAAACTTTCAGTAAACTTGCATATTGTAAGGTTTTGTGTACTTGAAGTTTTAAAAGGTTACAATTAAAGGGTTAATAGGTTGGAGACATTTTGCTTACTGCAGGCTGAAAAAAAATATGCAACCCAGTACAAGGAAAAGTGGAGAAGGAATTGTAGACAATGGGAGACAGTGGAGGTGAATGAGGCAAGATATATGATCAATTGACACATGGAATGACAGCTGGCACAGGGACCAAATGCTGGACAAATGGAATGGTCACTGGGTTCATGAAAACATCATTAGACAAAACAAAGGCCGGTGGCACACAGGACATAACCACTGGAAATATGGAGCACACATTGAACACATGGATAGACTAGCACTGTACATAGAGACAGACTTCACTGGTACAACGACAGACCACTATATTGCAAACAGAGATAGACTACAATCAGACACAAGGACAGATCACATGGGAACTATTGAAGGACTCTGAGTGAAACCAGTACTAGACACAGAGCAACTACCACTGGGCACAGGGACATACTACCACTGGACATAAGGAAAGCTCTCCACTGAACACAGGCATCAACCACCAATGAAAATATGGACAGTTCAACATTGGACACAGGGAGCAAGCACTACCTGACACAGAGCATCCACCACTGGACGCATGGAGCGAACACCACTGGACACATGAACAGACCACCACTGGACAAAGGGATTGACCACCTCAGGACACAGGGAGCAACCACTACTGGCTGCAAGGACTGACCACAGCTACATCCAGGGATGGGCCACTACTAAAAAATATGAGATAAGGTATGCACTCCAGATACAACAAAGTGGCAAGTAACAGCTTAGAGCAGTGGGTGCTCATTGTACTGGTGTGATTTGCACCATGTAGATAATATATTAAATTATAAAAAATGCATGTCATTAAAAAGTCAAAAACAGAGCTACACAAAACATGGTCACACAAATTGACAACACTGACAACACAAAAATGCATGGTATTTATTAGGGAAAGTGCATAATAAGCCACCACTATCACAACAGCCACAAATTCACTGCCATTCTAATCACAAAGTGCCCATCACCACAGCCATTGAAGGACCAGCATTATAGCAAGGAAGTGACTACCAATATAGTTTGAAATGACCACTACAGAAACTTTACAATTAGGGAGTGATATAGATGACCAGGTTAACTAATATAGGCAAGGAATGACACCACTTTAACACCACTATAGTCTGACAGTGAATGCCAACACTATAGATCAAGGAAATGATCATAACCACAGCCAATCACTGACTTTCCTTGACCCAGAGAGTAATCCTAACTTTAGCACCTCTAGACCCGGAGAGTGGTACCAACCATAGCCACTTCTAGACTCAGAGAGTGATTAACACTTAGCTGCCTCTAGATTCAGAGAGTAGTTGGCTCCTAGCCACCTCTAGACCCAGAGAGTGTTCCCAAACCTAGTCTCCACTAAACGTAGAGAGTGATACCAATCATAACCACATCTAGATTCAGAGAGTAATTAGCTCCTAGCCACCTTTAGACCCAGGAAGTAATACCAAATGTAGTCTCCTCTAGGCCCAGAGAGTGATCCCAGCCATAGCCACCTCTAGACTCAGAGAGTGATTCACACTATAGCCATCTCTAGACCTTGAGAGTGATACCAAATGTAGTCACCTCAAGACCTAGAGAGTAATCCCAAACATAGCCACCTCTAGACCCAGAGAGTGATCCCAACAACAGTCACCTCTAGACCCGCAGAGTGATCCCAACCACAGTCACCTCTAAATCCACAGAGTGATCCCAACCAAAGCTACCTCTAGACCCAGACCGTGAACCCAACCACAGCCACCTCTAGACCCAGACAGTGAACCCAACCACATCCAACTTTAGACCCAGAGAGTGATCCAAACCACAGCCATCTCTAGTCCCAGACAGTGATCCCAACTGTAGCCAGCTCAGAGAGATATTAGCACCATGGCCACCTCTAGACCCAGAGATTGATCCCAACCATAGCCACCTCTAGATCTACAGAGTGATCCCCAACATAACAACCTCTAGAGAATTAGCATCTCTAGACACAGAGTACCCAGTCAGTTATCACTATACCGCAAGCAGACAAAATGAAAAAATACATTGAGAAACACTTCCAGTAAAAAAGATCCCGTTAGTTGGGCACTTCTACTGCAGATCACAGCAGTGTTCATATCCCTTACTGAATGTTATTTTTACATTCATCTCAGTACGAGTTCCTTCCTGTTATCGTTGACAGGAAATATGTAAACTATAAGAGAGAAGTATCTTTCCCTGCAATCTCACTTATATTTAACATATCGTCACTTCTGATAATCTGCTGTATCTGATGTTTCACATGGGTCACATATTTATTTACTGGTCCCAAAAATACACTCATCATTAAAACGGTCACATTTTATGATAAATGGAAGGTTTACCAATATGAATGCCCTAACCACGACTACTGAACTCTCCTCTGTGGTCTTTTGCTAATACAAAACAAAGCAGTTCCATAAGAGTTATATGAACACTTAGCCACACTGATGGACTTCTCTGCTCCTTTGATGCTGCTCTTCTACTGTATGTCCCTGCATAGGGTCAACATGGTCCCTAAAGAACAGTTCTACATTCTAGTTCTGATATAAGGCCCTCCACAAGCTGGCGCCTTCTTATATCTCATCTTCATTCTTCAGGTTCCCAACCACAATCTCTATTCCACTTCCCAACCAAACCGCGAGGACTTCACATATCCTGCATCCCTTCCCCATGTTATCAGGAGCTCCCCACTCCCTACTGAAGCCTGTTGTGAGTGATGTATATGGTTTTTCTAAACAACATATCTGTCTCTATATACATCTATAAATAATAACGATGATGAATAATAATTTCTGATTGAATAAACAGCAAGTGTAAATATATAATGGTCCATAGTGCACTTGGCATACAGTTATTCACTTTAAGGACATTAAAAATAACAAGGGGGCACTCTATGTCTGGAGGATAATAGAATTTAAAGTGGTTGTAAACCTCATACATTAAATATGAATAAAGTATTTCCCTCTATAGTGTGCACTTGTCTTGATTAAGAACACCAAGGGGTTTATTTACTAAAGCTGGAGAGTTCAAAATCAGACTCCCTTCTGCATAGAAACCAATCAACTTCTAACCTCAGCTTGTTCAATGAAGCTTTGGCAATGAAACCTGGAAGCTGATTGGTTTCTATGCAGAAGGGAGTCTGATTTTGGACTCTCCAGCTTTAGTAAATAAACCCCCAAGTGTCATTTATTTCTGCTGCTTCATTCCTCTGCTATCAGCATGAATCACTTCAGACAAGTTTTCCTGACACCAAGAGGAAAAAAGGTGACAAGGTTGGGGCCTTCAGCAGATTGGCAGGTACAACTTATGTAGGAGGTTGTTTCATCTCTGTGTCAACTAGGGCCAGGCACTTTACTGGGTTTATGTAAGGGTTTACAACAACTTTATCCTCCACATATGGAAAGGCTTCTTTATAGTACGAGCTGTGAAAATGTGGAATAGACTCCCTCAAGAACTGGTTCTGTCCAGCACAGTAGATTATTTTTCAAAAGCATTAGAGACATTCCTAAATGCACAAAAAATAACTGGATTAGGCTTGTTGGTTTGAATCCCACCCATAGCACCACCTGCTTGGAGTTTACATGTTCTCCCTGTGCATGTTTCCTCTGGGTTCTTCGGTTTCCTCCTACATTGTAAAGACATACTGGTAGGTTAATTGGTTCCTGTGTAAATTGGCCCTAGTATGTCTATATATGAATGTGAGTTAGGGACCTTAGATTGTATGCCCCTTGAGGGTTAAGGACCGATGTGAATGTACAATATATATTTATGTGTGAAGAGTTGCGTAAATTGATGGTGCTATATAAGTACCTGTAATAATAAATCATATTTATAGAAAATAACAGAGATGGTTGATTCAGGGTATATCCTATAACCTTCAGGGGGATCAGGAAAAAATTTATTTTTGTGCTGCAGTAGCAAATTGGACCATGCTTTATAGGGGTTTTTTTTTTTTTTTTTTTTTTTCTGCTTTCCTCTGGATCAACTGTGGAGATAGGATTGCGTAGATGGATGTTTCCTATGTATTTATTCTATTATTTATTTATTTATTTATTATATTGGTTGAATTAGACAGACTTGGGTCTTTTTTTCATCTGACTAACTTTGTTGCTATGTAAATTTGTGACAATGTGGGTGAAATAAAGAAACATCTGCCAGGGATCTGTTACTGTCCAAAAGGTACAGAAGTACCTATAGCACAGGGGTCTCCAAACTTTCTAAACAAAGGGCCAGTATACTGTCCTTCAGACTTTAGGAGGGCCACACTGTGACCAGTGGGAATCTAAATAGTATTCGCATCAGTAGGAATGAACAATGCCCATCTTTGGTATTAGGGGGAGGAATGGTGCTGTATTGTTGGTGTCAGTGGAAAAAGTAGTGCTCCATTGTTGATGTCAATGGCAGGAATTATGCCCCACTATTGGTGTTAATCTGGCCCCAAGGGCCAGATAAAGACAAGCAAAGGGCCACAGTTTGGAGACCACTTATATAGAGGATATCCTTAAACCGTTTCCGCATTGCCCTATAGCAGTATTACTGCTACAGGGCGACACGGATGCGCAAAATCACGTGTATATATATATGTGATTTTGCAGTTCAGAGTAGGTGGCACGTGCCCTACCCATGCCGCCATTTGCGCCCTTGGCTGTCAATCACCAGGTATAGGCTGGTGATTCCCTGCCGGCACCCGGCTATCTCCGAGGATTTCCGAAGGGAGAGACCTGTATGTAAACAACACAGATCTCCCCCCTGTCGGCTCCGGCATGCTGCTTTGTATGGCTCTGCATAGCAGAGCCATACAAAGCAGTGTGCTTACAATGAAACACACACACACAGCCCACATAGCGAAACAGCACACAATTAACCCTTTGATCGACCCAGATGTTAACCCCTTCCTGCCCAGTGCCATTAGTACAGTGTCGGTGCTTTTTATTAGCACTGATCACTGTATTGGTGTCACTGGGGATGTCAGTGACACCAAGTCAGTTCCCCCCAGTGTCAGAATGCCTGCCGCAGTCCCACTGATTGCCGCCTATATTAAAAGAAAAAAATAAGGAAAGTTCTATTCGTGGGGAAAAAAAGACATACATTTCATTTGGGTGCAGCGTTGCATGACCGCGCAATTGTCAGTTAAAATAACACAATGTCGTATCGCAATAATGGCCTGGTGGGTAAATCCTCTGGAAGGCAAATGGTTAATAACAACAAGATTATTTATGAAAAGCGCAAAAAGTATGTTATGCTATGTATTGGCAAAAATTAAGATGAAGCACCTAGCCCAAGGAGCATCTAACTCTGTGGACTAAATGAATTTATAAGCTCAGTAAATGATAATCTAAAAAAGCTGTCCAACTTTTTCTTGAGCTGTAAAATATCAGAGTTAAGTAATATCTGACTGTCAAGAAGGTTTTATTTGCAGAAAGATCCATGAGCAAGCTTGAATGTTTAGGTCTCCTAGGTCTCCTCTTATTGAGGAGGATGAATAGAATATAATAAAAGTGGTTACACTTCATCTCTATCAAAGAGTTAGCATTTGGTCAATGTTACAATCCTACAATCAACTGTTCCCCTGGAGGGAGACAATGTCTGAAGAATGTAATGCTTATTTAATGTCATAGGCTGACAAATGCACAAACTCGGAAATGTGTGTGTGTTACATAGTTACATAGTTAGCCTGGCTTAAAGACAAACGTCCATCCAGTTCAACCATTAAAAAAAAAAAATGTAATCCTATACCCACAGTTGATCCAGAGGAAGGCAAAAACACCCAGCAAAGCATGATCCAATTTGCTCCAGCAGGGAAAAAAATTCCTTCCTGATCCCCCGAGAGGCAATCTAATATTCCCTGGATCAACTTTACCTATAAATGTTAGTATCCAGTTATATTCTGTGCATCCAAGAAAGAATCCAGGACTTTTTTGAAGCAATCCACTGAGCTGGCCAGAACCAACTCTTGAGGGAGTCTATTCCACATTTTGACAGCTCTTAGTGTGAAGAAACCTTTCTGTGTTTGGAGATTAAACTTCTTTTCCTCCAGACATAAAGAGTGCCCCCCTGTCCTGTGTGATGACCTCAGGGTGAATAATTCTACACCAAGTTTACTAAATGAACCATTGATGTATTTATACATGTTAATCATATCCCCCCTTATGTATTATACATGGTGATCATATCCCCCCTTAATCTCCTCTTCTCAAGAGAGAATAAATTCAGTTCCTCTAATGTTTCCTCATAGCTGAGCTCCTCCATGCCTCGTATCAGTTTGGTTGCCCTTCTCTGTACTTTCTTCAGTTCCCCAATGTTCTTTTTGTGAATCGGTGCCCAAAACTGAACTGCATATTCCAGATGAGGTCTTACTAATGATTTGTACCGGGGTAATATGATATCTCTCTCTCTGGAGTCTATACCTCTTTTAATACTATATATACATTATTGTTAATAAATTAATTGATTTGTAATACTGTAATTGTACCTAACAATTACAGTAATAAACAGAGGCAACCTGTCATCTTTAGGTTGCAGTGACATCTGGGGTAATATCTGCAGGCTGAAGGCTTATTTTGTACATAGCTGGCACAAGTGATCACATGAAAGGGAAGCACCCTAACTGATTTCCAATCATTATTGTAGACTAAAGGTAGCTGTGCACAGTGCCAGCTGCTACCGGTGAAAAGGGTGATATAGATACCCTCAGCAGGGAGCATCATGCAGATGAAGATTAATCTACAGTTTGCAGATAGGAAGGAATTAAAGTGATAGTAAAGCTGAATTTTTTTAATTAAAATAATAAACATGGTGTACTTACCTGCTCCTTGCAATGGTTTATACATAGACCAGCCTCGATCAGCCTCTTCTTGGGTCCCCCGCCGGTGCTCCTGGCTCCTCCCCACCCAATGCCCTCATGGAAAGCTGCTTTCTATGGACACACTCGTTCGGGCCCCTTAATTCATTTAGGTAAAAAAAAACCTGAGGCTTTAGAATCACTTAAAAGGCGTCTCAGGGAAAATATGAAAATAAGCATAGTTGGCTGCGGAATTCTTCTCCTTCCCTCCTTTCCCCAATGCTCCACCACCATTCTCCAGACATACCCAAAAGCTCCCCAGGCAGTTCTGTATGCTTTTTTACACATCTCCTTTCTGAGGTCTTCAGACTTGATGCCACTGGGTCCTCTTTTGGCTGGGCAGTACTCAGCGATACATCATTGACAATCTACACTCACAGTATGTCCTTAACCTTCCGGGCTGAATTATGTTTGGCGTTATGCCACCCAGGAGACTGAGGACATCTTGTGGGAAAAAAAGATTACTGTGCGGGGGGCCAGTGCCAAAAAAGAGGTGAATATTGTATATTTCACTCTGTAGTAGAAAACAAAAACAGAGCATATTACCTTCGTAAGCAATTAGTAGATTTATTAGATATACTCACAAAAGTGTCAATATAACAGGCATATAGAATCCAAAAATGAATCATTGGATAAGGAGACATGTGCGAATCCCATTGGAAGGGGAAACTCTCAGGGTGAAGCTGACGCTTTTCAAAGAGGGGGTCCCTTGTTCATCAGAGCTCTTCACCCTGAGAGTCTCTCCTTCCGATGGGATTCGCACATGTCTCCTTATCCAATGATTCCTTTTTGGATTCTATATGACTGTTATATTGATACTTTTGTGAGTATATCTCTTAAATCAATAAATCCACTAATTTGCTTACCGAGGTAATGCACAAGGTTGGTGCGCTCTGTTTTTGTTCTCTACTACAGTTTGTATCGAGTTTCCCCAGCTTCGTGTTGGAGCTGCACAACCTTTGATCAGTTTTGGATGAACTTCCATATACTCTAGTACAGCCTCTCAACCAGGGTGCCTTGAGGTTTCTTCAGGGGTGCCTTGGCAAAATGTCTAAAAATTGCTCAAAAGTTGTATACAAGGCAGCAGGTGGAACAAGGTACAGGTTTTCCTTGTGCACCATTTTGACCTTCTAGCCACCTGACAACCAGTGATATCATCAGTTGATAAAGAGGATGTCGACTGCCTGCGCAACATCCTAGTTTGACCCTCCCCCGTCCCTCTCCATCAGTGCTGGGGTCACATTAGCTCAGTGATGAAGAAAAACTGAGGGAGAAGAGAAACTATGGAATACTAGTCAGTAGCAGTGTGCAATAGTGTATTTTCTTTGAAAGAATAAATCCCTTCTAATGTTGGGTGTCCTATATGTGTGGATGTTGCTGCTTTATACAAAACTATTAGAATAGTTTTTCACATTTTAGAATGGGGTGCCTCAAGACTATCCATAATTTTAAAGGGTGCCTTGACTGAAAAAAGGTTGTGAAAAACACTGCTCTAGTATATATTGGTCCATTGGCCCTCTATATCAGTATCTGGGTCCCTGGGCGCAGGAGGTGTTGCATCAGTGTCTATTGTATATTGCAGCCAGACCTTTTTTTTTTTTTATGACTTGACTCCTAAATCTAACTTTTTAATTCAACCCCCCAAAGTTAAACTATTCAACCTACCTATCAACTGTAGTATAATGACACTAACCATTAGACTGAGTTAACAAAGCTAACACATAAATATCCTTATCTTCAAAAAATGACAGTTATTTTCAGGTGAGTCCAATGAGATCTGAGAATTATAGACACGTCTGATAAAAAAAAAAAAGGCTTGTGTAAAACTTTGTGAATTGAGCCTATTATATACTGTTGTAGCATTCCAACATTAGCACCAGCATCATAGCAAAAAATGTCTTTGTCAAAATACAACGCACCGAAAGATCTGTGCTGAAACATTGGTTTTGACAAATGCACTGCATAGGCAAAGTAAAAGAAAAAGAAAAAAAAACATACAGTGAGCCTCTGCACATTTCCCATGTTTTTTGAATCCATTGATTCTGCAAGCAATGCACCCAGGTTCTAATTTTCTGTTTGAGCTGACAACCTAGTGCCTTTGCTGCACTGAAATCTCAAGAAGTGTTGTCAGCCTGCCCAGATCTCCTCTGCTGGATTACAGATCATCCCCTGCCCCCCTTCTCCTCATCTCCACAGTCCATAGAGGAGCGCTGAGTATGGCTAACAGTGCTTGGAGTTTCAGCAGAGAACAGGCACAGCGTTTTCAGCTCAATACAGAGAGGTAGGAGTACACTGGATTTCTGGCAGGATCAGCCATTTTTTTTTGTACTTTTAAATGAGATTAAAATATGGTGAAATGTGCATGTATTACAGAAGTGTAATTTTAATTTTAGAATGTATTAGGTTGTAGAACAGTCCAAGCTACACTTCTGTATGACACCCAATTACCATGATACTGGCCAGGAGTTCATTAAGAACAGTCTTATCAGAAGTCATTCAGCTTCTCAGATCGCTCCTCTGCTCACAACCTGTAAACATGTTCCAGTGTTCATCATACAGATATGACTTGAGTTTGCGGCACTGACCTCTCTCGAAGGCACTGCGGATCTCATTGACCTGGACTTGTGAGCCTGGGACACGGAATATACCTTCGTGCTGTAAGCCTGTAAGTTGGAGTATATACCAGTCACAATTACAAAAAAATAAAAAAATAAAACAAAAATAACTTCACACATAAAAAAAAAATATAGGTAAAAAATAAAAATGTACAGGTATTAAAGTGGAACTTCACTCTCTCAACCAACATTGACTATATTTTCATTGACTGCTGCTAGTATTAGTAAGTAGATAGGAAAGTGTATCATATGTACATGTACATGTTCTTTTTACATTTCTTCAGTTACTTTCTGGTTTCTGGCCTAGGCCAAAATGATGTCATACATTCCAGGAGTCAGAAGGGGAGGAGAGGTTTTCTCAGCTAAGCCACCCTCACCCTCCTGCCAGCATGCCAGAGCTAAGGACAGATGGATTCCAAATGTAAATGCTACTTGAATTATCTGCCCTTACTCAAGGTAGCTGCAGCTAGAAATGCTAGGGGGGGGGGGGTGTTTTTCAACAAAATAAAGCATGAAGACATGGACGGATGGCTGAGTTTGCTTTGAATACTAAAAAAAAATGTTGTATAGCGTTTTCAGTTTTTGTTGCTAAGATACAGTTTAGTTCCGCTTTCACTCACTGCAGAAAGTGGCCCTTAAAGCGAATCTAAATTTGAGAACACCAATATAATACAGTAAAACTTAGGCCCTTAAGTCCTTAGGCCCCATGCACACCAACGTGTACAGGATGAAAGTTCCTGTAGCTTAAAACTTGCCGGGGAATCAAAACTGGCACATTACTGATAATAGAATAGGTAGGCGCTACATTTACGTAAAACAAATAAACAAGTAAAAGTGCAGTTAGAGAGGGATAAGTATTGCCAAAAATCCCTATATCTAGTGCCTCAAATTTGGTGCATACCCCCCAGTGCATGGACCAAACCTGATAGTCCTAAACAAATACTAGTGTGATTATAATTAATGTGAAGCTGCCCCTAATATAGTGAAGCTGTCACTATAACATGTAATAGAATAGAATAGGTAGGCGCTACATTTATACAAAATAAACCAAGTAAAAGTGCAGTAAATTAGGGATTAGTATGCCCAAAAATCCCTGTATATAATGCCTCAAATTTGGTGCATACCTTCCAGTCCATGGACCAAACTTGATATTTCTAAACGATTACAAGCCAATTTTGCCAATAGATTACATATATAAGTGAAATAGTGAAAAAGTCCATACATTAAGTGACAATCCTTGAAACGTCTTATATCTGTCCCAAACCAAAGCAGAGATAAGATAGTGACTGTAATCTGCACCACCTGCTCACAGACTTATAGTGTGGATTGCTCACTCACCAGATCCTTTGACCCCAGTTATGGTGGTCAAATACGCCTTTGGTTTTATAGGGGACCACCCTCTCTTGGTGTATAAGGGTTAAATGCTCATTTAGCACTATGGGCCACACAACACACTTTCTACACTCACTCCTGGCTTTAAAACCTCCACAGCCCCTTTTTCATTATGCTCTGACAGTCACAGGTCCCTTGATGTCATCAAGACCAATGGAGAGCCCAGAGCCCTGTACTGAATTTGAGGATCCCGAGGAACATTCCACCATCATGCGTAGGGAAGAAGAGGAGAGCGCCACCTGCTGGGGAGTGGAGGATCAGGTACGTAAAATTGCTGTTCCTGTCCCTTAGACCTAAACTAGCTTGTAGTGTGGGGGAAGGTCTGTATGGGAAGGTCTTTCCTTTCCCCGGCAATAGGCTTTAATTACATTTTAACGAACAAAGAAAATTGGAATCCTGTTGCTCTTATGTGATATGTGCTATATACAATTGTATACAGGGATTGGTAAAATAATAATCTTTTGTTAGTTGCATCACTTGCGCAGCCCAAAAAAATCCCTTTGTCTTTCCAGGTGTAAACATTGTTTAAAAAAAACACCATTCTAAAAAGATTTTCTTACCATGCAGATTTATGAAGCGGATGCAGCTGGACACGACCCGTGGAATGGCCTCTCCTGAACTCTGGATGGGGGAGAAAATCGGTATAATACGTAATGCATATGGCTGATTTTTTTCTTTTTTTTTTAACATTTATAATTTTTATTATATTTTAAATGTTTTGTATTTTTATTTTTATATTTTTTTATATATATTTTTGTTTTATTTTATTTTTTATAAATATTTAGATAGCACTTTATATTTTTTTAAACTGTTAAGTGAAGGGAAAGATTTCCAGTTTACAGACTAGTAGCCAAGCCACTGATGGTTTATTGCATCCTATATAGAGTAAATCCACCAATAAAACTGCTGGTTGCATTCTCAGTGAATTTTGCTGTTGCTTTCTTATAATACTCTTTGACCCCGTGGAAAGCCTCCGTTACATTGTGGTAATGCACGTGATTAAATGTGCGATCTATCACGTTGCATTAAAGTGCTTAACCCAATGATTTGTTTCAGAAAAAAAGTTACATTCAAGCCATGCCGTGAATGATAATTTTCACAGTTGCTTGTGCTCTCGACTGAATTGCCCAGTGGCATTGTAGCATACCAATGTGCAAAAACACTTGTGCTACTGTGTGCGTTAGTGCAGGACAGCAATATCAACCCGAACCTTAAGGATCTGGTTTAACATACCCGCACAGCTTTACCTGGATCAAGTTGGGTATGTTCCCCTTTCTGGAATTTCCATAGGAATAGATACGTATATTGCAAATTAAATCTCTTGAGAATGAGATTATAAAGAACAAATGTATATGTAATTTACATATGGTACTTAACCATCATTTTAGAGATATAATTTGCAATATAAACTACGTGTGCTTCCCTGAAAAAGTGGACTTAGAAATTTGTCAGATAGAAGTCAAAATATGACAGGCTGTCTGTGAAGTATCCTGTACAATAACTGTGTTGAAATGGACTTTTTGATGGTCTTATCAAAAATATAAGTATGTCAAGAAACTCAAAAAAAATATATTTATATACATATATGTGTTAAAATTGATTTGCTCACATACTATAAATATCCCTTCTTTTCCTATATACAAGGTTTTTGAAATGATCAATTGGGGATATAGGTTTATAAATAAGTCCATTATTTTCACTGATTTCCCATCACATTTTCTTTGTACAATAATATACGGTACACTAACAGCATGCAAGTCAATGCCAGTGATTGTGAAAAGGGCAAATGTGAACTACTGGGCTCCTCCTTAAGGACTAATAACCAGGTGGAATGGAAGGAAATCTATACTAATATTAATATATAGGCTCACATTGCTTACACCCTTCTTTGCCTAATATAAATATAATAACCTAATGAAGCTGGTATTGTTCAAATATATACAGTATATACTATATAATGTGTAACAGATTGGTATTACATGTATTTAGTTATAATAGAGGAGCACAAAACCTAAAATACAGGTTTGTATTAATCCAGAAAATTGCAATTTCCCACCAAAAAAGCAATTTTTGGAGACATCTATTGCTCAAAGTGTATGTATAGCCAAAACTCTTTTTTTTTTTTCATTTTAGATGGGTTAAAACCGCTTTCAATATATTTTTTTTGCTGTCTGTGTTCCATTGGGGAGATTTCCCTTCACATTCAGTCAATGAGATGCAACAGGATGTTAAAAGAAATCTTCTAAACAGAGGGGAATTCTCCTATTAGCCATTTCTCCCCGAAAACAGGTGTTGTTGGAAGGTTCCCCTCACCTCTTGTTCTTGGGACAAGTCTTAATTTGTTTTATTTCCCTTACCCTCATTTTTGGCGATAATGGTCATCAGGACAAATAGAGGACAAATCTCCCCCCCCCAGGGACACAGGCTGAATTAAAAACTTGAAAGAGGGGTTAACCGTTCCCTGCTCTTTCTAAATCTTTTTTAAAAAGGTTTTGCCTAGAGATACACTTTGAGCAAGACATTTCACAGATGTCCTTCAAGGATGTGTTCACACTATATGCAAATAACTTGACACTATTCATATGAGAAAAATAGAGACTGTGGTTACTAGCCTTCTCTTGGAAAGTGATAGCTGCCCGTGTTATATACAGGGCAACATGGTATTTTAGATTTAGTGGTCATTTAACGTATCAAAAAGGGTTTCCCTCCTATTTTGCTTCTGATCACCAAATGGACTGGTTGCCAACATAAAGGGCTTTGGCATGTTTAAGAGCAATGTGTACAAACATATACAAAGCATTGTTATAGTATATGTAAAAGGTGAGGCCCAGCTCAGATGTGTTCCTCTGCGTGGTGTGTAGAGCAGACCATTAATTTCAATATTCTGCCCTACACACGAGAAACATGGAAAAGAAGTCCCCTGCTGTTTTCAAAAATATACCGCACCAATGGTTTGGTGTATGCTTGCAGATGCCATTACCAATAAATGTCACTGTCACACATCAGATAATGGCCAACGAGTTTCTCTGTGTGTCAAGAAAAAATGGCTGATTTTGCACACGTTCCTGATACATCATTCCTCACTTTATATACTGCTTTGTGAGCTCCTTTAATTGGCCTTTGGGCTGAAAGACTTGATAGGTAGTTCAGATGCAAACTGAAGGAGGGGATACAGCAGGCTTACAACACTGACGCTTCCGATCATCACAACAGAATGTAGGTGCTGCCTCATTTTTACTACATGGCATATGTGAGGCAGTGTCTATGTTCTGCTGTGAGAACTCAACACTGCTGTGTCCCCTCCTTTCATTTCCCTTTGGAATACTTATCAAGTGTCTCAGGTCGGCAAACCAAAGCCAACCAAAGTAGCTCATATCAGAAGTTTGTTCCTATTGGTTCTCAATTTTATGGATATTCATAATATACCAAGGAGTTTTGTGAGTACAAATTTTAAGTTTTAATAAAAATATATCAAGGATTTTATACAATGCCAATGCACTCTCAGTTTGTTTTATAGAATAAATCCGTGGTTTTCCAGTCCAGAGACATTTTGTGGGACTTTTAGGCTACAGCTAAATCTCTTCTTAGGGTTTGTTTACATTAGCGGCTTAGGAGAGGTTGAGCCGCTTTTTACTCTGCGAGTGCCCTGCAACCATTCACAATGATTGCAACGTGCTAGTGCAGAGTTCAAGGGGTTAAAGGAGCCTGTCAAATGCTCTCTGAAGGACAATATGAAGGCAGACTGCTCTTCAGTAACCAAAGCGAGTGTCTATGAGCCCTAAGGTTGCATTCATTTCGAGAGCACACGCATTTATGAAACATGAAAAATTCACTTATGCCGCCATTGATTGGCAATGGCACCCAAAATGCGGTAAGAAAGACATGCATTTCTTTTGCAAAAAAAATTTAAAAAAAGCACACGGCAAAACATGCTGATAAAAATGGCATAAAGCTCAATGTTCAAAAAGATACATGAGCTACTTTGCCATATTTGTCACTGAAATCAAAGGTCTTCCCCAGGGGTGGGCAATTAATTTTCCCAAAGGGCCACATATGAAACTGGGACTGTTGTGGAGGGCCAGACTTAAGTTGGCTCAATTTTTATTCTGGACCTGAGAAAGCCCATAAGTAAACATATAGAAAACAAACACCTGGTGCTAGGAATAAAAAGCATTATATAGGTCTGTCACAGAGTGCCAGTGCCTCTCCCATCCCCCGCCATATCCCTCCACCCCTCCCTTCCCCCTTGCACATTCCGATGTCCATGTAGCTTCCATGAACGTTGCTGGGCAGGCCGTTGCCGAGGCAACCTAGCAGCGTCCCACATGGATTTAAAAGACTTGCACAGGAAGCAGCCCCTCTCTCTTTGTTCCTGTGGACACTGCTGGAATCATCTTGCTCCCTCCGCTGAATGTCTCAGGGTGGGAGTCTCCGCAGCTCTGCATGAGCCCCTCTTCCAAGGTCAGACCCCACGGCCATGCTACCCCCGCAGCTGTTCCTGGCCGCTGTGAGGGCCCCTGCCTGCTGGTCACTGGGCCCTGGAGAAGCCGGCCGCTGTGAGGGCCCCTGCCTTCTGATCGCTGGGCCCCTGGAGAAGCTGGCTGCTGTGAAGGCCCCTGCTGCTGATCGCTGGGCCCCTGGAGAAGCTGGCCGCTGTGAAGGCCCCTGCCTGCTGGTCGCTGGGCCCCTGGAGAAGCCGGCCACTGTGAGGGCCCCTGCCTTCTGATCGCTGGGCCCCTGGAGGAGCCGGCCACCGTGAGGGCCCCTGCTGCTGATCACTAGGCCCCTGGAGGAGCCGGCTGCTGTGAGGGTCCCTGGAAGCTGCCTGCTGCCGAGCGTCCACGTCGCCCACCTCCCTGGAGGCCACCTGCTGCTGAGCATCTGCAAGTCCCCGTGACCCCGATGTCCCTAGAAAGCTGGGTGTGAGCTGTGCTAGGCCAGACTCCACAGCTAGAGTCCCGTTGAGTTCCCGAGACCCCTGCCCAGGGGTAGGTTGCCTGCCTGTTGCCCGATACTCCAATCCGCTGTGCAGTCACGGAGGGAGCTCAGCTGAGGCCCCAAGCCTAGGGGGGAGATTGCCTGCCTGTTGCCCAAGACCCCTGCCCAGGGGTAGGTTGCCCGCCTGTTGCCCAAGACTCCAATCCGCTGTCCAGTCACGGAGGGAGCTCGGCTGAGGCCCCAAGCCTAGGGGGAGATTGCCTGCCTGCTGCCCGAGACCCCAGTCCAGGGGTGGGTTGCCTGCCTGTCGCTGAAGACCCCTCATGCCTGGAATCATCCCTAGTTTGCGCACACATCATCCTCCCTGCCATTTCCCCATTGAGTGTCTGTCATTTTGTTGTTGCAATAAAGCTTTGTGTGTTCCCCATCTTCTCCGTGTGCTCTGTCCTGCCTACGCTTCCGTCACAAGGTCTCTTTCAGACAGACGATTAAGATGTGATAAAACAGGAGGATGAGTTGCAGTTTTACTGTCCCGTGGCTGCTCACCCAAACTGTAAAATAACAAACAGATAGGGCTGTTCACATGGTTCACATGTTTGGCTGTCAAACTTCACACCCACAATTAAAAAATGTCCTGACTGAGATGCAAAGCATCTCGAACCAAAGGGCAGGATGTGGCCTTGGGGATGCAATATGCCCAGGTCTGGTCTGCTCTATGCATATGGTGCAAAATCTAACACAAACACGCAACAACACGGTGCAATTCTGTGCATGTTTACAAAATGGAAAATATGAATGTAGCCTAAAAACTTCAAGATAGGTGCTTGAAATGTCCTGGAAGCTTTGCAAATGCTTTGTAAACGCTTGCCATTCCCTAAAGCCCATGTTTACACAGATTTAATAAGGCAAACAGAAATGTGCAAAATGCAATAACCAACCAGAACTCTTCTTCATTAAGCAAAATTAATTAAACTCAAATCTGATTGGTAGCTATTAGTTATTGCGCTTTGCACTGCTCGTCTTACTGTGCATGGAGTTTTTGGCAACCGGTCTGTCCAAGTCCCAAGAGTAGAAGTTGCATTGATGACATTGGCACTACCCAGAATTACAAACTACAGATGAGCTTAAAGTGTGCGTCCGGCCAAAACATTTTTTCAAATTTTGGATGGAATAGTGAAGGGTTGGAATGTCTGTTGGGTTTCACTGCTATTCATGGATCCATTGGAGAGATTACCCCTGTCCTGGTAACAGTGGTTTCACTAGACAGAAAGTGAAGGAAATTCTGTAATGGGAAATAGTAAGAGCCCCCGACAGCAGTAAAGACCTAACTGGGATTCCAAACCTTCCCAACTCTAACAGAAAAGTTTTGGCTGGGTTTATACTCTACAGTGTTTTTTTACACCTTTTAGGTGGACATGGGGGCCACACACGGCCACGACACGTGACATTACCACGCACCACGGCCATTTTGTTGGACAGAAACATTGACAGGCTCATTTTATCCTTTTAATTGGAAGTGCAATATTTTGAATAAAATGAAATATATTTTTAAATTACTACACTATGAGCGGTTACTCTTTCCTTTTGTGGAGTTTAGTGCGTGGAGAGTCATTTGCCATCTGAGATCTTATTTTTTTAGAAGATATCTCGTATACAATCTGGATCTTCTGGGAGACTTATTTGGAAGCCTATGGTACATCTGCCAGGCCTGAAAACTGTGCTATTTGACCAATCCTTTGGGTGGTCAAATCCTCTGGTAAGAGGCTGAGTGATTGGGTGGAAGGTGACAGACTTTCTATTCTTTGATCTTTGGTTTTACTAAGCACCAGCATTTTCCAGATTATGTGGACTCTTGTATAGACTTTTGTGATAATATGTGTATTATTGGCACATAATTATTACACCTTAGTGGGGAACTGGTTACCATTATTATTTCTTTTATTGTTACTTCTATATTAAAGTAGTACACTGATTATTTTGTTTATGTTATTTTTTGCCTACTGATTGTGGTAGCTGCTCCTTTTATTTGGTTTTTAATACCTAAGAGCAGGTTTTTATTTTAAGTGTATATAACTGGTACAATCTTGAAAAAACATAATACATATATAAAATATACAATAATAAGAGTAGAGAAGCAAGCAGACAGAAGCAAGAGATATTAAGATGTACCTGGGCACGGGACAGGTACCTCCGTCTCCTATATATGCAGCGCAAAGGGAGAGAACAAAAAAGACAAAAAGGATTGATCTGTAAGAGGTTAACAAGCAAGTACAAGCAGCACAGGAGCTCCGATCCATGAAGGCATGGGAAGGTTCAGGCAAAAAGAACATTGACCTGGATTATTTATTGATCAAGTTCAGCGTGTACAGAAAAGTGTAAAGTGCAGTAACCTATGGAAAGCAGTCAGCAGTCATCTCTCCACTGATTGTGGCAATCTAAGCGGTTCCCCTGGGTTTTGGTTTACCATCTAAGCCTGTAAATGCTTAACGTGTCTGCAAACTCAAAATCTATTTTTCATTATATTTGGCATCATAGCCCTATGCAAATTTTGACCTTAAGGCTACATTCACACTAGCGTTGTGTGCAGGCAGCAGAGAGGCATTTGGGAAGCGTTTTTACCGCTTCCCAAACGCCTCTGCCAATTCTGCCCATTACAGCACAGGGTGCTGTTCTAACAGGAGCGTTTGCGTCGCGGCAAAACGGACGCCTCTGGTCGAGTCAGGAGGCGTTGAAGCCTCCTATTCTCATCTATGGTGCCGCTCCGCAAACGCCTGGCTGGCGTTTGCAGTGTGGTTGTGACGCGGTTGCGGGGCGTTTTTGCGGAGCGGTAACACCACTCAAACTGGATTATAGGCGTTTGTGGGGCGTTATTAATGCTCAGCAAATGCCTAGCAACCTCCGCTAAACCGTGCATGCGGCGTTTGCGGAGCGTTTGCCGGGTGTTAAAAAAACGTTCCGCAAACGCCGGACCAACCGGTTGGTAAAACAGCCAAGTGTGAACGAGCCCTTAGAAAGTTGAAAACATTTTTTCAGGTGGTATAGGGTGCAGATCTGGAGGGAGAAGAGTTTTTAAGATTTGCCACCTGTGTAGCAATAGTATTGCCAACTATAGGTTTACTTTATTGAAAATACACATATTTGCCAAGCAAGTACAAATTTTATGTGTATTTCTACCACTGTGAGTTTTTATGACTCTAAAATATAAAAGGAAAATTAATAAAGAGCCTGCACCACTCTTTTAAACTAAGAAACAAATCCTGTTCCTAATTTAAAAAAAAAAAAGCCCTTTTTAAAATTAGAACTGATCTGTTCTGTTTTCTATGCTGTGCCTGTGGCAGACAAAAATGGCATAGAGGTTGGGAGGGCTGAAGCTTTTTGGTCCTGCAAAGATATGGTGCTTTGAATGTCCCTATGGGCCCTTTGCACCATCGAAACCTGTAAATGCTTAAAATGTGTGCCAACTCAAAATATATTTCTGAGAATATATATATATATATATATATATATATATATATATATATATATATATATATATATATATATATATTTGGGAAATTAACAAAGAGTGGTGTAGGCATAAAAGCCTGCATCATCAGTCTTTTAAACAGAAAAGATGGAGCAAATCCTGTTCTTGAATTAAAAAAAAAAGCCCCTTCTTTTCATAAGAAATGACCTGCTCTGTTTTCTATGTTGTTGCACCAGGCGCAGAAATGGCATAGAGGGGAGGAGAGCTGGAGCTGTTTGCTCTTACTCCCCCTGCCCACCATTAAAACCCCACCTACTGAGTGAGCGGCATGAAGAAGACTGTTAACCCTACATTTGCTGGGATTAACAGCCAAGCATATAGACAGGAACTTTCTCTGTATACATGAAAGATCTGTCTATGTGTTGTGTTCACTGTTGGTAGAGACAGGCACATAAGCTGTTTAATAGATACTGGCAGACATTTACATGCTGTATGCCAGGTTAACTAAGGCTTTCTATAAGGAAAACTACTGTGATACCTTTGCTAGAGCGGAACCCACCCCAGTTTCCAGAATAGAAACTTGAGCAGGTGAAACAGGTCTATGAGCTTTGTCAAAATGGCACCCGCACTCATGGCAGTTTTCACACCATTATAATGGGAGTAGAGGCTTTGTTAATTCCAACCAAAGTGAGAAAGATGTGATGGTAACAAACGGCAGCTTTGATTGCAGAATGTTTCCATTGCCCATTACATGACAGAAAAGAGGAAGTGATATACCGTACAGGAAACAGAAGGCAAAGGGAAGAAAAGATTAGATTTAAAAAAAAAAAAGATAAAAGATAAAATAATAGATACAGTTAATGATGTGCTCAGGATGCACACTGTATAACTGAGAAATTGGGCTCCTTTGTAAAAACTGGAGTAAAAAATTAAGACATGAAGCCCATTCCTACCAATCAGATTGCATGGAAAAGTGGCCAAAAGCTGGCTGGAAAAGTGGCCAAATCTGGCTTTACAGGAACTTTTGCTGGAAATGTATTATGTCCCAAAGTAATATTTAAGGGGTTGAGCTTTGGCTACCTAACTAGGCCAAGTCAATTCCAAGAACTTTCTGTCCCTAGAGTAAAACTTTTTTTTTTCTAGGGGTTGAGCTTTGCACCTAACTTGGCCAAGTCAATTTTCCATTTTTACACGCACCATTGAAGCATGCACAGGAGCTCACTAAAGCCCCTTCAAAACAGTGCAAAACATCTAGACATAGGGGCCTTACTGCAAATTCTGGACCCAATACCCCCTCTATGGCACCCACTTTTTGGCCTGACCCATTTTTTTTAGCCATATTATTAGAACCACTACATACCTAAACGTGTTCAGAAAGAGAGAAGAAAAAGGAACCAATTTCTGCACATATTACCTAATCATCAATATTTAACCTGAAAAATACCTTTATTGCATCAAAAATATTCATTGTATCAAAAAAGTTCTTTGGTGTCTAAAGCCAAATTTAAAAAGCCCAGTATTAGAGATACACAACCTGGGATTTAAACCAAATATAATACATACATTTAATGTCTGTTTTAACCACAGACATATTGCCCTTGCAAAGCCACAGAATTAACAGTTTATCATTTGGCAGCACAGTGGCTAAATGGTTAGCACTTCTGCCTGGCAGTACTAGGGTCGTCGGTTCAAATCCCAACCACAGAACCACCTGCCTGGAGTTTGCATGTTCTCCCTGTACCTGCATGGATTTCCTCCAGGTACTCGCACACTCTACAGACATGCTGGTAGGTTAATTGGCTCTTGTCTAAAATTGTCCCTAGTATGTGCATGAATGAATGTGAGTTAGGGACCTTAGATTGTACATTTCTTGAGGGTTAGGAACTAATGTGAATGTACAATATATGTGTATGTATATATATTTATATATGTGTGTGTATGTAAAGTGCTGCGTAAAATGATGGCGCTATACAAGTACCTGAAATAAATAAATCATTTTTTGAAACACAGCAATACATATAAGTATTGTATACAATACGGCAATCCAATTCTGGGGGTGAGGGCAAGTGAATCTTCAAAGATTCTTAAATTGAATACATAAATGTGTGTGTGTATGTGTATAATATATATATATACATACACAGTACACAGTATAGTATTTTTTTTTTTTTATTTTATTTAAATTTTTATTTATTTTCCATATATATTGCACATTTCATCATTGTTCTCATACAAACAAATTTGCATATCTTTAATAACATTTCTATCTATCTTTATTCCCAATTACCACCCCCGCACTATCTCATTTCCCCCCACCCAAAAAAAAAAAAAAAACCTCCCTCCCCCAAAATAAGCCCACCCACTCTGCATAATTCTATTATCCCTCTTCATACGCGAATATAGGGTACGAATCCTTCTATCTTTCTCACATAGTTACTTCATATATTTCCCCATGAATTTTTCCCATGTTCTCCACCTCTTATAGAACAACCCCATCCTGTCTTCCTGCATATAGCACAGTCTCTCCATCTTATAAATTTGATTAGTTCTTTCCACCCAATCCTCTATCTTCGGCACCTCTGGTCTATGCCAAAACTTAGGTATCAACCCGTTTGCCGCATTTAGATAGCACCATATACCCGAATCCTTGTAGTTATTTACTGATAACTCTGTACTATGTAGAAGACATACTGCTGGGTTCAGTCCTATCTTTATCCCAGAGATATTCTCAATTAATTGAACGATCATCTCCCAGAAACCTTGAATTATACACAGTATAGTATATAGGTATTTTTAAATTTAATTATTTTTGATAAGGTAATATACTGTATGCTGCATTTGGAAAGTCCCATATTTTTTTTTCTTCTCTGTTTCTCATTAGGGCAGTGAAAAATGAAACAGTGAACAAAGTCAACATTTTTTGTGCGAGTTGTCTTGCCACAAAGGGAAAATAACAATAATAATATATTATATTTAAAAAATGACAATAATAAGATTATTACCTTATTTATTTTTAAAAAGTCAAATAAAAAATACAAATAAAAGTAAAATAAAAATAAAAAAGTCAAAGAAAATCAAAGAAACAGAAGCAAACCATGGCATATTTAAAAGTAAAACAATGAAGATCCTATAAATAGGGTCTATGAAAGGCATATGAGATATTGAGATTATTCAGGCATTTGTGGAGACATACAGCATAGAGCAGCTCAGATTATCAGATTATTTAGAACTGAAGTGGCAGAGGTTTGCATTGACAGATAGAGAACTATGCAGCACAGGCTTCTGGGAAGAGCGGCAAGGCAGTGATTACCCCAAATATAACACAAGCTGAATCAGAAAGCAAAGAAAGTGGGCAGCACACACGGGAGGTACCTTCACAAACTCCTCCAAATCCCCATTAAACAGTTTGTGGTTATACTGGGATGACGGTCGCTGCTTTTTCAACCTCTGCGATTTACTTGTATTGGACTGCAGCCTGAAACCAACCGTGTGACATACAATTCACCCATACACAAACCTTGCCAAAATACATAGAATGAGCATGAAATACACCAATATTATGGCTATATTGCAGTGAAATGCATATTCCGGCTAATATAATTTGCATAGTCCATAATAACCAATAAAAGTCTGCCTACTGCAAAAAAAAAATAGGTTAAATTTAAACTTCAAGTAGATATAAAATACACAAACTATGCAGCTCTGTATTCATTAATGCACCATTGGATGTATTTTTCAAATGTATGTATTTGAATTTGACTTGGCGTCTCTCTCTAGCAGTCCCTGTACAGCAGAGCTCAGTTTGGGAGTGGGAGAAGCAAAACAATGAGCCAATCAGTTGTGCTGCAATGTTCATGTGCCAAAAGAAACATGCTGATAGAAGGAGAAAGCAGAGTGGCAGAGATGAGCTCATCAATTAGCTAATTCTCCTTTCACCGTCCAATCACAGGCTGGGGGAGGGACAAGACCTGTAGGCAATACTAAACTATAGCAAAGAAAAGTCAGGTCTCAGGGCTATAAATAAATTTCAGTACTAATTGAACAGAAAATCAAATCCATTGGTAGATAAAACAGCTCCCTTATGCTGATTTTGTTTGTGTATTCAGCTGTTTACTTGGAGTTTAACGTAAAAAAAACCTAAAAAAATCTGCAATTTGCCACTTTAACCTAATACTGATTATTTAAATTATTTAAAAAAATCTATACTTTAAAAATAGTATATGGTTTAGTAATGCTGAATTACATAAATATATATTTTCAAAGTTGTATGGCATTTTTATCAAAACCATTTTCAGTGTTGCATTATGATTTTATTAACAGTGTTTTCTAAATATGGCAGTACTGTTGGGCTTATTCAAAAGGAAACTGGCAGTAATCCATAATATTCATCTTTCACTACAATCTGATTGGTCACTTATGGGGTACTGTGAGTATGCAAAACTTATCAGTAATGGGTAGGTGCTGGTGATTTGAAGGTCCCTCTTTCTTTTTTTGTCTCTCAAGGACTTTGGGGTGAAGCTTGAAGATTCTTCTGCACCCCACTGCAAAGTCCATGTCCAAAAGTGCATTCTTAAGCTGGCCACAGATGGTTCAAATCTCGGCCGGTTCAGCAAGGACTGGCCAAGATTCAAACCACCTATGGACAGGATGCTTGTACCCAAGTTGATCCATTCCACATGGATGATCACATGTCGAATTTTAACATGCAATTACTGCCAGCGTCTATAGCCACCAGCAACAATCACTGTGTTCTTCCAGCAGGGACAGCTCCCTACACCTCTCCAACAGAACACATTAGCTCTGCAGGAGGGATTCCCTGTCTGTTGATGGGGGAATTGAGAATTTTTATTCCTGCCTTAGCAACATCTAAAGCAGGGGTCTCCAAGCTTTCTAAATAAAGAGCCAAATTACTGTCATTTAGACCTGGGAGGGGTGTTAGTGGGAGTAGAAAATGCACTAGAGAATAAACAATGCCCCAAACTTGGTGGCCAGTGGAAATAAAAAATTCCATAGAATCTGTGGTCAGTAGGGGAAGAATAGCGCCCCTTCATTGGTATTAGTGGGAAGTATAGTGCAACATCATTGATGTCAGTGGGAGGAATAGTGCTCCATCATTGCTGTCAATGGGTGGAATAGTGCCTGATATTTGTTCCCAGTGGAAAAAATAGTGACCCACCATATGTGTAAATGGGTGGAATAGCATCCGATATTTGGTATCTGTGGAAGGAACAGTGACCCATCATTGAGGTCAATTGATGGAAAGTGCCCAATATTTGGTATCAGTGGAAGGAATAGTGACCCATCATTGATGTCAATGGGTGGAGTAGTGTTTGATATTTGGTATCAGAGGGAGGAATAGTGACCTATCGTGTGTCAATTGATGGATAAGTGTCTGATATTTGATATCAGTGGAAGGAATAGTGCCCCATCAATTGTATCAAAAGGTAGAACAGTTCTCCATATTTAACTTCAGTGGAAGGAACAGTGACCCATCATATGTGTCAATGGGTGGAATAGTGCACGGTATTTGATGTCTGTGGAAGGAATTGTGCCTCATCATTGGTGTCAGCAAGAGGAATTATGATATATCAGTGGTAGAAACAGTACCCCAAGGGCTGGATAAAGGCAAGCAAAGGGCTGCATTCAGCCCACAGGCCACAGTTTGGAGACCACTGGTTTAAAGGCTGGCAGTAAAACCACCTAGCTGCAGCAAGATAGCAATAAAGATGGGAGCTCATTTCCAGAGGTCTCATCACCCATGTGCCTAAACATCAGGAAATTTCTGGCAGGAGAGAAGAACAATTTCAGATCTTTTTTTCAAAGGAAAAAAGATCACTTGGGTTAGAAAACGTAACTCCTGTTTTCCCTGGAAAAAGATGCTTCTGGTTCGGGTGCTAGTCGGTGATTTTGCTGTCCTACCACTCCACATTTCTAAACATATGTATATACTTGGGCAACCCAAAAATGTATGGCTAAGCATAAAGCTGTGAAAAAGATCCACTAGTCAAATTATGCCTACATAGAGACTGTCCTTTTGAGTGTATAGGCACCATAAGTAGCCCATGAGTGATTTTTACACCCAACCACAGCACCCACTTAATACTAAAAAGTAACTTTTGGATGGACAGATCCTTTAACAGTGCATTCAGCATGACCAATCAGAAATCAGCTGCTTGACCTATTAACCTGTTTACAATAATAATTTGTCAAAAGCAATTGCTGTTTTTTTTTTTATATAACACTGTGTTCACATAATTACATACTGAAAATAAGACCAATGACATTTGGCCATATTCCATAAACAGTGTAAGAAGCAAAGCATTAGGGGGGAAAAGGAAAAGCGTTTTTAGCAGCCAATTAAAATTCACCTTCACAGCCAGACCAGAGAAAGATGGATTCTGACTGGTTGCTATGGGCTCTGCAATTTGCTCCTCCTTGCACTGTTTTATTGAATACTCCTGAATATGTTGCAATTGATAGGTATAATTTTTGGATCTGCTAATGGGTAAAGTTCATCTAAAGCCACAATCATTTTAGTTTTGGATAAAGTATGAAATGGTAAATACCCCTGCCACTTTTTTGTTATGATCTGTGTTCCATTAAGGGGACTGATCTTCACTTCCTTCACCTGAGATACAAAGGGAAGTAAGAGAAGATCTCTTCAAATTAGGAAAAGTTCCCTTGTAGACAGTTTTGGGGTGAGTGCTGACAAGAGCCCAGTATAAAAGTTCACAGTTGGACATTTTAGGTCCAAATTTTTACTGATCAAAAGAAACGCATTTCAGGGGAAATGCCTCCTCTTCCTCAGAGCTGGAGCAGTGAATGTAATTGGACTAGTGGTGAGATTTAAACAGGAAATCCATAGTCATGCTGGATTTGAGTTGTCAGATTGGATGCCTTGCAAACAGTTTGAAAAGCCCAAAACAGGTTGACTTCTCTTGAACAATAAAGATTTGGACTTAATCTTTATAAATGTCATGATATTTTGTACTGTGCACTACTCAACACTCACCTCAAAGCTGGATACCTATTTTAAGACCATCAGAGAGGCAGCAGCTCAAGAGCGGAACAAAGTCAAGTTTGGGTTAAACCCTCAGTAACCAATATCCCCCTTATATTGGTCCAGCGCTACAACACACACCAACCTTGCAGACAGTTGTCAACACAAGTATCCCACTGGAAGACTTCCCCTCTATTCCTGTTCTGGTGACAACTCAAAATTTTGGACTTTCCCTCACCAGCATCAGCCCTAAGGTGAAAGAATCCAGTTTAACGATTCACCATAAGACTACATAAAACATCCAACGTGTTTTGGGGGCCTTCATTAGGGCTAAAAAAATAAACCAAAAAAAGATATATATCCATATACATATAGTATATACACACAAAACTTCGACCAATTGTTAATACAATAATACAGATGGTATTTAGGTGTCTAAATGCATGGCTGTTTTATATGATCATACGATGAATTATTAAAGCAACTTGGGCTCTTTTACCATTTAGTCTGGCGCTCCTGTTGTGTTTTTTCTGATTTGAGTAATTCTGGGTATCCTTCAAATGGGAGCCTTGCTTCATGCCAGAAGCCTCACCAGAGCCAGTGAGCTTGTTGAGCAATTATGTTTTCTCTGTTTTATTGAACAAAGAATTGTTGAAGTACTAGTGCTTCGTGGAATATGTTTTTTCACAATAAAAACTGGACAGAGGCTCTAGCACTCCTTACTTTATCCAAAGCTATAGGGAAGGAATGACTTTAGACTCACTAACGCACAATACGTTGCATGCAAAAATTCTTGCTGTGGTAAGTACTGCAGGTTACATATAGTGACATCACTTGCCCCACCCTTCATTCCAGTCATTGACAGTATACATACCCAGAGATCTTACTGTGCAATTCAGCTGCTGTGGAGGAAAAAATGGGAAAAGTGAGACTTTTTAACAAACGTAAACTTTTCTCAGCATTTCAAGATCTAAAGAAAAGTTTAAATTGCATTTACATAGTTAGCTTAAAAACACAAGTCCATCTTGTTCAACCAATAGAAAAAAAAACAATCCTATTCCCACAGCTGACCCTGGGGAAGGCAAAAAAAACACCAATAAAGCATGGTCCAAATTGCTCCAGCGGGGGGGGGGGGGGGGGGGGGGGGGGATTCCTTACGGACTACCTCAAGTTAGTATTATCTATAATTAGGGCCTCTTCCCCACAACCCTGGCCGTGGTGCTTGTAGGGGTCTGCGGGCAGGGGTCTTATTGGAATCTGGAAGCCCACTTTAACAAGGGGCCCCCAGATCCTGGCCCGCTCTATGTGAATGAGTATGGGGTACATGGTACCGTTACTCATTCACAAAAAAAAAAAAGTGTAGTGTAAAAATGACAGTATACAGTCTTTGACAAGTCTTTTATTAAAAACAAAAATAAAAAGAAGTCCCCTGAAGTAGATACAACGTCAATCACGATGCCCACTACTGACATGAAAAAAAAAAATGCTCCACTCTCAACGCTGGCTCCTGCTATCTGCCAGCTGCCCCAGGATGACAGTTCTTAAATACTATGATGATGTCACAAGGGGCACAGTGATTGGCACAGTGCATTGTGGGTCACGGCGGGAGAACAGCCCACCAAACGCGCTTACCATTCGTGTGGTCGCCGACCACATGAACGGCCGATGTTCCAGTCAAACTTATGTTGGAGTCGAACATCAAGCCCAACACTAATGGTGATCAAATTCTCCCTTACCCATCTCTTCTCAAGAGTGAATACGTTCAGTTCCTCTAATCTTTCTTCCATAGCTGAGCTCCTCCATGCCTTTTATCACTTTGGTTGCCCTTCTCTGCCTTCTCCAGTTCCCCAATGTTCTTTTTGTGAATTGGTAGCCAAAACCGAACTGCATATTCCAGATGAAGTCTTACATGAGGATGTGTACAGGGGCAAAATTATATATCTCTTACTGCAGTCCATACCTCTTTTAATGCAAGAAAGGATTTTGCTCACTTTGGAAACCTTGGCACTGCATGCTATTGTTAAGTCTATAATTTACCAGAACCCCCAGATCCTTCTGCACCATTGATTCCCCCATTTGTACTCCCCCTAGTATGTAGGATGCATGCATATTCTTAGCCCCCAAGAGCATAACCTTACATTTATCAACATTAAATCTCAATTGGCACATAGTTGCCCAATTAAATAGTGCCTTGAGGTTGGCTTGTAAGTTGAAGAAATCCTGTAAAGATCACTTCATTATGAACAAATATGACTCTTACATGGTGCCCATACTGATGCTGCGAATGGTTTGCAACTTTTTTAAAATGATTAAATAGCTTCAAACTAAATGTAAGAGAATGCCACAAGTGTGGGAAGTTTAACAATAAAAAGTATAAAATAATATCCTTTGAACATATTACTACACATTTTAAATGATTGTTAAAAAGTGTTAAATATCAATTGTGATCAATGATAAATATTTGAAAGTGAGCCACAGATACAGCAGTATAGCTGTGTATAAATTAGAGGGGCAGGACTTCTATGTCCCGTGATGTACTCCATGAAATGGATTTTACAGGTAAGTATGTAGAAGAAAATTCAAGTTTCTTTATTGTACATCGCGGGACACAGAGCAGGTTATTCATTACTATGTGGGATGTCCTAAATCAATAAGAAATTTGAGGGGAGGGTGATACCATGATAGCCACCATCAATAATCCCTTAGGACCTACTCGGCCATCCATAAAAAAACATTGCAGCCAAAGGCAGGATCTTATGCGGCTCTGACATCCACCTTTTAGAATCTTGTGAATGTGTGAACCAAAGACCATGTAGCAGCCTTGCAAACCTGAGCCACTGACGCCTGATGGTGGATTGCCCAAGATGCCCCCACATTCCTGGTGGAGTGTGCCTCCACCCGAAAGGGTGGGATTTTACCTTTCAAACTATAAGCTTGAATGATCAGTTGGCGGATCCAATGAGATATAGTCGCCTTGGATGCCGCCTGCCCCTTCCTAGTCCCCTCTGGCAGCACAAATAGAGCATCTGACCTCCTAACCTGTGCTGTCACCTTCAAGAAGACCTTTACAGCATGAGCCACATCTAAGGTATGCAGAGATCTTTCTCTTGCTGACTGAGGCCTAGGAAATAATGAAGGCAGAACTGTGTCCTGATTGAGATGAAACCACCTTTGGAAAAAAGCATGGATGAAATCGTTCCAACACCCTTCTCGCAGCACCCTTCTCGCAGAAGTGATTGCCACTAGAAACAACACCTTACGAGTCAACAGGACCAGTGGAATCTCTCCAATAGATTCAAATGGTGGTCCCAAGGACACAAAGGCAAACTGACAGGAGGAGTCACACGCATTACTCTTTGTAAAAAAGTGCGACGTAGTGAACCTCTGGGGAAAAAAATAGCTAATGCTGAAACCTGGCCCTTAATGGTACCAACAGCCAAATTCTTCTGCAACTGCAAATTCTTCAGCAATTCTTCAGTTTGAAGAAATGACAGAGTCCTGCCAATCACATATTTTGTGGTTACCATTTGTGAACCTCACACCAGGCAATGTAAGCCTTCAGGGTTTTGTAATAAATATTCCTAGAAACGTCCTTAATAGCATCCAACATGATGGGGATGACAGAATCTGACACTCTCCTATCCTTCAGGATCTGGGTTTCAATAGCTACACTGTGAAATTTAGCGACCGTAAAGCTAGGTGCAACATAGGACCTTGGGACAACAGGTCTGGCTGATACGGCAGGGCAACCAAAGCCCCTGACACCTTTAAAAGAAGAGCGTTTGGATTTCCTCTAAGAGGGTAGAAGAGTACTTTTTTACCCCCTGAAATCGTTTGGATATATTTGTCCAAATCTTCCCCAAACAGCTGCTCTCCATGAAAGGGAAAACCTGCCAATAATTTTTTGCATGGCAATTCTGCTGACCAACTCTTCAGCCACAAAACCCTGTACATGTACACTGATAAGAGGGCCAAACGAGAAATTTGCTGAATTGAATCCTTAAGAGCATCAGCCGCGAAACACAAAGCACACAGAACATCCTCCAAATCCTCGACTGAGCATTCTCCCTGCACTGATGGTCTTCTAATCCGTTGCTTGTCACCATCAGAAAGACTCTGGCAAATGCCAATAGCTGCCACAGCTGGCTGTGCAACAGAACCTGTCAGGGAGAAGGAGGCCTTAAAGAGAGACTCCAGCTTCTTATCTGCTGGGTCCTTGGAAACCTGTACATTATCCACAGGACATGTTAAAGAACAGCTACTACAGACAACCCCATTTCAAACAAACTTTTGTTCCATGGGGTACACAACATAAAACCTCTTTTGTGAAACAAAATCCCTGTTTGAGTGATCCCAGTCAGCATACATAATTTGCTCCAGAAGAAGATGCCCCGGAAAGGCCTGAGTACTCTATGAAGGCTTCAAAGAGCCCAGGGAAGAAAAAGTAACCTCAGAGGTTTCTATCGGAGGTAGCCTGAATCCAGACCATACCATATCAGTGAGGTATTGGACTAAAAATCTTTGCAACTGGGAGGCAGAGACCTTCTCCTCAGACAGAGATTCTACTGCCTGACCTTCCTCCAGCTTTGCCTCATCCTCAGGCTCCACCCATTCCTGCTCCAGGATTGGTGATTCTAGTGACCGGGAATTTATCCAGCTTTTTCTCTCCTGAGAAACTGATGTAATCATCCCAGCGATCTTATCTTCTAAACCCGCTAAGGCTGAAGCATGATCATCTTTGGTTACATATGCTGAGGCAGAAGCCCTAGTAGTAGCCACAATGCCAGATAGATGCAGCGGCTCAGACTGCCCAGTTCGCTTCTGGCCTGTCAGGAGAGGATATTACAGCAGACCTATTGAATAGCCCGCTTTGTCCCAGCCACAGGAGATTTCTCAGCAGCAGCCCACATGTGTCCTGGCCTTCAGATAAACAAAATATGGCCGACTTCCATTTCCGGCCGCACTCCCTCTAGTGGCAGAAAACAAAAAGAGCAAGCACATATCGGGAACAACAGTGAGCACTCCCCCTGGTGGAAACTCACTGTCATAACACCTCTCCATTTCCCTCCAATTCAGAGCTTTGTTTGTTTCTCTTTACAGAGAGAAAAAAAAAAGGAGATTTCTTACCAGTCCCACCGCAGGTCCCTGACTTCCGTCAGGCACCAACCTTCATCTACCACGGTGGGCATTGTCATACAGACCTTCAAGGACTCAGTCCCCATGCTGAGGGGCTACTGCCTCGGACCCGTATAGCACCCCGCTGGAAGCGCCTTGGTCAAATTTTAAAACTGTGCAAGGTCCAGCGCCATAAGGCTGCATTACAGACAAAACCTCGAGAATTCTTCTCCTTATCCAGCGAGGTGCAGGTACCATCCGTTTTAGCTCATAGCTTTCCGAATGGATCCAATTAAAGTCCCTGATTCTCTAATGGAACCATTCTGGACTTTCAGGTATGCTCCAAGAGCACAGCAACACTTTCAGTGACCATCCACCTTACAGACACTGGTGAAATAACTGAGGTATTTCCTGTATAGGAGGAGTTATATAGGGCAGGACCTCCACTCTGATTGGTCGGCCAGTGTCCATTCCCTATAGGTCACCTATAACCAACATAGTCCTGAATAGCCTGCACTGTGTCCCATGATGTATGATAAAGAAAACTAGTATACACTGTAGTACTTAGGAATATTTCTTGTTTATGTCAAAGTGGGAGGTGGAGAATTGGTGCAGGTATGTGCAATGGACATTCAAGGTGGAACAATAGCGATCCGGACAGGCTTTCCACAATATTTCCCGGGCAGTAGTAGTCATCTAACAAGAGATAACTGCTTAATATTTCTCTTTTGCCTATAATCAACTTATGTCAGAATAGTTAAAGTTGCATATGGACAGTTGTCACAGCTCAAGGCCTGGTTCACATCTATGCATGTCGGGAATGCACACAAAATCACGTGCTTTCCCAACATGTACAGAAGTGTGCTGTTTTTTTAGACATGAGGGGGTGCCCTTAAGGCCTGGCTCACACCCCTACAGTGCGACCTAATACGTACCATATGTGTTTTGTGTGTAGTGTATCTAATTCATTTCGATGGGCTGCCCTACCCACAAGCAATGTGGGGAGAGAAGTCCCGGATCCTGTGTAGAATCACACTGCAATGAAACACATGGTGCTGGTTTGGAATGTGAAAAAACATGCATGGTTGTCGATACATGGGATGCATTGACAATTATTAGAACCCCTGCGCATCTGCTAAAGAGCAGCACATTTCTGTGCGATTTTTGCGCATGTTCCCAACATGTGAACCAAGCCTAATTTTTAATGGCACTCCCATGCATCAGCAACTGCACGCATTCTCGCACATGCCAAATCGACAATGCTACAGCACTATGCAGTTCAGTGTGACGCAATTTTACAAAAGAATCAGGGACTTCTTTCTCTGCATTTCTGATGGGTAAGGCCCATTATAATGAATGGACTACCTAACGCTAGGTCGCGTATGACTGTACTAGTATGAACTAGCAGTGGAAAAGCTTTTATAAGACTCCACCTACATTTGGTTTGTAAACAATGAATACAATATCCTAAAAATAGAGACTGCATGTAATTTTTCATTGAAAAGATTACATCTACTTGATATTTGTTACATGTTCTCATTCACATAGCATAACTGTAAAAATTAAAAATGCTCTTTTCTGAAAAACTCCAAACAAAAATTTTCCTCTGCTTTACAGAGGGGGCTAAGCAGTTAATGTGTACCATCAATAATGCTGCCTGTACCTGCTGGTATATTTCATTATGAGTGTTAAACTAGTTTTGAACTGTCCTAACAAACGGTTGAAGACCTAGAAGCTGGGCTTCTTCTTGGTATGCCCATAAGGAGAAACTCAGGGTGTCCCTCTTTGTCAGTTGTGTGAGATTGAGTTTCCTCTCATTCCACCCACATGGTGTGGAGTCCAGTTACAGCTCCCAAGGTCATACCAATGTTGCACAAATTGGGATGCACTGCTTCTATTGCTGTATTAGAAAACAGTTGATTGAAGAATCTGAAGTAAAATAATATACTAGTTGAGCTAAAAGTAATTTTCTCCATGAGGGAGAAGAGGTTCCTCATCTTAGGACAAATGAGGACTTAGAAAGTGTGGTAAGGTCCTTCAAAGCTTTGCCAATGTCCAATCACCTGTAGGTACCAGCCTACAACCCAGGGTCTATAAAATTCAAGCCTGTGCCTTCTACTGTACGATTATAAACATACTATGGTAGACAAGTGGATAAATTAAGCTTACGCCTGCTGTTACAGAGGTGAGCTTAGTATTGGCTTTTGAACTGCCCAGTCACGTTTATGGGACTCTCGAGGTGTTTTTTTCTTAAATATTTGTGTTTGATAAATAACTGCAACTAGAACCATTTTATTCTCCAGGTCTTTATTTTCAGAACATATATACTTTTTGCAGGTTTTGCAGTAATTTTTAGCAAAAATTTAAAAAAATTTAAATCTTCCCCAGTAGTCAAGTGATACTTATACAGTATATATATATGATATATATTTTATAGTGAGGTTTTCCCAAAATTGATTGCAAACATAGAAATACACTTTAAGCTATTATTCTGGTAGGCTACTAATTAGTCTTTATCTCTTCCTTACCTTTGGCTATGGCCTCTTTTAGTGTATCACGCTTTGCCTGTAATTTACAAATGGTGCTTCTCCCAGCCACATACTTCTGCAGCTTCTAAAGCAGACAGCAAGAAAGAAAATATTGACTACATATTCACATTGTGGTAAAAAAAAATCTTACTTACAAAACAGTCTATTGGGCTAATTGTGCCCCTGTAAAGGCTGTTGTTATATAATATTTGCATACATTATTAACAGATGTACAGGTCTGCCCACCTCACACTTTCACATATCTGCCCACCTGTGCCATCCATAGATCTGCCCACCTGTGCCATCCATAGATCTGCCCACCTGTGCCATCCACATATGTGCCCACCTGTGCCATCCACATATCTGCCCACCTGTGCCATCCATAGATCTGCCAACCTGTCCCATCCACAGATCTGCCCACCTGTCCCATCCACAGATCTGCCCACCTGTCCCATCCACAGATCTGCCCACTGTACACATTCAGAGGCCTTTGCACCTAACCTTGTAGCATTTACACAAGATAGATAAGGATAAGTCATCATATTAATTACTGACATTTCTGAGATATCTAATTCATAAACATGTATAGGTGAAGGCTGAACTTCAGAAACAATTAAGTATATGCTTAGTTTCCTTACTCCATCAAAATGCAAAATGGTCAAACTGTTATTGTTGCAATACCAAAAAATCTTGACTAAAATTCAAATCCCATGTTTTTCTGCATAGTTTTTTTTTTTTTTTTTTTTAACCACAGGCTATAGGAAGAGCTTTACCTGTTGCATTGCTAGAACATAATATTGTTGCTCCTGCCAGGACGACCGTTCTTGAAAATCAACAACCTATATTAAACATAGAAGGTGAAAAGGTAGCCAGTGAGGCAGACCTTTAAGACCCTCCAATCCACAGATGCTACAGGGGAGAATTCAATTGCCTTTAAAGTACGGTAGCTCTCATTTATTCAGACGGGTAAAGGCAATAGGTGGGCTGGCCTCATTTGTCATTCCCCAAGTTCACCCATCTTCAACGTAGCATCATTAGTGACAAACTTAGGTGCTGGTATGTTGGGTGTCCTGAGGGATCTCCCCTGTGGGAAGGAATCCAACTTGAGTGCACACCACAGGGAGAGGGTTGGCAGTGCTTCCCTAGTGTGAAGGATTCCAATGGGTCCCATGCCTCCTGGTTTGAATAATGCTGCCTTATCTAGCCATGGGTCAGGAGAGCCTGCGGTGTTCCTGTCCCCTGGAAGTGGTGACCCAGGGTGCACTTGTTCTCACAGTGGGATCCCAAGCCCACAGTGATACTAAGCACTTGGCCACAAAACCTCTTGATTTTTTTTTCTGTGCATTGCCCCAGGGGCTAGGCCTTTCGGCCTAGAACAGGGCCATTTTTGTTATCAGGCTGCAAGGTCTAGCCACTGTGCACACATTGGCATTTTATTCACTCCTCACATTTTGTTACTGCACTTTATATACTGTATATATGTCTTTTTCCTTTTACTCACAGATGGAATAATGTGGGTCTTTGGGCCTACCCTAAAGGTTAGGTGGAGGATGTGTGGCCATCAGGTTCTTTCCTCCCCACCTTTGGGTTCTATCTTTGAGAGAGCTCCCCCACCTAGTATTTGTTGGTTGGCTTCAGCTGATCATGAGGCACAGGGTCTGCTGGGCCTATTTTTCTAGGTGGACCTGAGTATGCCTTGCCCCATCAGAAGTGTTGTGCACTGGGGAGGTCAGGGAGTGGTCCTTCTTCTTTAGGAACCAAAAACACACCTTAGTGCACTCAGTGTGCGTATGTGTGTTCACATGCACTTTTTTGCTTCACTTTGGAGCTTAGTTTTTGTGCACCGCACTGCTGGTTCGAAAAAAAAAAAGCCTAGGTTGCCTTATACCTATAGTCAAGCTCTGAGCAGCATGCTTTTGGTTGCACTATAAGTCTGCGAGACAGGAAGTTGCTTTTCTACAAACAAATTTTACTGGTGTCAACGGATGGTGGGTTAAGAGCTATCACCAGCATTTTAGAGATGTATCACCCCCTCCAAAAAATGTATAAAGAGACCACAGAAAAACTACAGAGCAAGGTAATGTTACAGGTGGTGGCTCTTTCATTTCATAGTAACATGAGATTTCCATTTTTGTCTGGAGCTATGAACAGCCTTGATCAGAACTTTGAAAGCCTATAAACAAGCCAAGGGGCAAGTGTAACTCGTGTCGGTAATTAAAGGGATGTACTGGCAATCCTGCCCACACATCACACAGCAATCCCCCAATATCATCCAATCTATTCTGTTCTTACTGAAACATAGAAGGTCTCTGTGTCCTGCTGGTTGGCTCTTCTCTTAGCTGTGCTTGTCTTACTGCTGGTGTCTGATCCAGTGGATTTAAGAGATTCTGTAGACTGGCTGGACTGGAACGCATCTGATAAGTCATAGTCATCAGCTCCAATAAGGTCTAGGAGGGACTGCAGGGTAGCTTTAAGAGTCTTATTCACCTTCAAGGAGAAAAGTGAGGAAAGAAATTACATTACAGATATAATTTTAAATTATCTTGTTTGTTCTGGAATGGAATATGAGACATACACTGATTAGCCATAATAATATAACCACCCACCATAACATTATCATCATCCACCCAATATTGAGTAGGTCTCGTATTTGCCACCAAAACAGCCCTGACCTATCAAGGCATGAATTTCACTAGACCTCTGAAGGTATGCTGTGGTATCTGGCACCAAGCTATCAGTAGCAGATCCTATATGTCCTGTAAGTTGTGAGGTGGGGCCTCCATGGACCGGACTTCCCGTAGTGCATCCTGGTACTATCTCTTCCCCAGGTAAGCAATGCATATGCAACTGGCCAACCATATGATGTAAAAGATAATGGGATTTATCAGACCAGGCCACCTTCTTCTATTGCTCCATGTCCAATTCTGATGCTCACATGTCCATTGTAGCAACAACAAACTGTAATGCACTGTGTGTTCTGACACCTTTCTATCAGAACCAGCATGAACTTTTTCATCAATTTGAACTACGGTAGCTCTTCTATTGGATTGGACTAGACAAGCCAGACTTCACTCCACACCCTGTCCATGGTTCACTGGTTTTCCTTTCTTGGATCACTTTTGGTAGGTCTTGACCACTGCAGACCAAAAACATCCCACCAGAGTTGCCAAGATCAACATTTTATTTGACACATTGGTATGTATCAAATAAACAACACATATTTTACCAGTACAAAATTCAACAGTTTTTGACAACTTATCCACTTCACAACATTGTGGTTATTGCAATAGGTATCTAGTGGTATCCCTCAAAGCTGATTTCTATCTTGCAACCTCAAAGGTTTACTGCAGATACATTCAACCTGGGATCCAACAAGTGTTGTATACATTAGTACAGATTCTTCCTCAGGGAAAGGATACCACGCTATAACAATAATTATCAGTGATTAATTCTTTATATTTCTATAGTTGAATATTAGTAAACCAACCATATAAGATGCATCACTTACATAAACACCAAAATTAATCAGAAGAAGATGCTTTACTGTGTTTGGAAGATAAAATAAGCGGAGACTTATCTTCCAAACTCACTGGTCACTGCTGCACTGCTAACCAAAACTGCTCAAGTCTACCTCTGAATTCTCAGTTATTCCCCGCTGGACTAGCCATCTTGCTTCTCACATGGCTTACAGAAGGTATAGCCAGGCCAATTACAGTCCACATGTTAAAATCACTTCTGCTATTCCTGTGAAATGTCCATGCTCTCTATGTACTCTAGTAGCCAGGAGGAGTGGAGAAGAGAATTTAGAATTTTGGCAAAAATATGTATTTTGCATATCAGAAATAATGTCATTCAATCAACTTAAACTGCATACTGCAGAAAGGAGGCATGCATTTGAAAGAGTTGATTATGAGGGTACCATCGTGAAATAGAGAAGTTCAATCATAGCTAACTTTACAGATTAGGTATACCGCAGTAAAACCTGAAAACATTTAAGTGGTCTCCATGTGTTAAAATCAAGTCACATGCCTTTTATTACAAAAAGTGATGAAGGTTTCTAGAGCAGTAGAAAACCTGTACATTTGTTTCTTTTGGCTTTTTGTCAATGATGACCCAAAACCTCCACCTATTAGATGCTTTAGCAGAGTGGCTCTAATGCTGCCAGCACGCAGGGGCTACGAACTAACACCACCCAACCATAGAAAAACTGAAAACACAATGAAAAGCTATGTGATTCCTAGGGTGGCATGCTGCCCTAGATGGTGAAAGCCTCACAGGCTGTTCCATATGGGACACCCCTGTTAATCAGAAGGGGGAGCAAAGTGAAAAACCTCTGACAAAGTGTGATTGGAGACAGGATATGGTCAGCTTGATAAGTAGAGCTACAATGACTGTACATTCCATCAATAAATGAAGGGAAAATGGTTGTATGTTCTTTAATCTACAAAGAATCATATGTCTTTTCTCAGCATCTCCCACACCAGTCCCCTAAAAATAGCTTTGCTGGATTTACAGTGTGGAAAATAAATTATTTTATCCCCTGCAGGTTTTGTAAGTTTGCCCACTAACAAAGAAATGAAGGGTCTATTATTTTTAGCAGAGGTGTATTTTAAACGATAGCGACAAAATATCAACCAAAAATCCAGAAAAAACAAACAATACAAATGTTATAAATTGAGTTGAGGTTCAGTGAGTAAAATAAGTATTTGATCCCCTACCAACCAACAATAATTCTGGCTCCCACAGACTGGCAATTTGCTCATGTGGTACACAGATTATTCCTGTCAATTTAAGAAAGTGCTCCTAACAACAACTCGTTATATGTATAAAAGATGCCTGTCTGCAGAATCTTTTTCTTGGGCACCACCATGGGCAAGACCAAAGAGCTGTCAAAGAATCAGGGCCAAGAGTGTACACCTGCACAAGGCTGGAATGGGCTACAAGACCATCAGCAAAAAGCTTGGTGAGAAGGAGACAATTGTTGGAGTGATTATTCGCAAATAGAAGAAATACAAAATAACCATCAATTGCCCTTGGTCTGGAGCTCCATGCAAGATTTTGCCTAATGGGGTAAGGATGATCATGAGAAAAGTGAGGGATCAGCCTAGAACTACACGGGAGAAGTTTGTGAATGATCTCAAGGCAGTTGGGCCCACAGTCACCATACAAACCACTGGTAACACAATACGCCGCCATGGATGAAATCTTTCAGCACCTGCAAGGTCCCCCTCCTCAAGAAGACTCATGCACAGGCCCATCGGAAGTTTGCCAATGAACATCTAAAGGATTCAGAGAAGGATTGGGAGAAAGTGCCAGAAAAAAACAAAATTGAGCTCTTTGGCATTAACTTGACTCGCCATGTTTGGAGGAAGAAAAATGCTGACTATGACCCTAAGAACTCCATCCATACAGTCAAGCACAGAGGTGGAAACATAATGCTTTGGGCTGTTTCTCTGCTAAAGGTACAGACTGACTTTGCCGCATTGAGGGGCCAATGGCAACAAAAGGTAACAAAGGAGTGTCTCAAGAAGGAGCACATTAAGGTCATGCAGTGGCCTAGCCAGTCTCCAGACCTTAATCCATAGAAAATGTATGGAAGGAGCTGAAACTTTGAGTTGCCAAGTGACAGCCAAGAAACCTTAAGGATTTCGAGAAGATCTGTAAAGAAGAGTGGACCAAAATCCCTCCTGAGATTTGTGCAAACCTGGTAACCAACTACAATAAATGTCTTACCTCTGCGCGTTCCAACAAGGGTTTCTCCACCAAGTACTAAGGTGTCCGTTTATGACACAGAGAATAGCTGCGATTCAGAGGATCGCAGCTACTCTCTGGTCATTCACAGTTTATGACACTCAGGAGATCAGCGAGGAGCGATGTCAGCCCTTCACTGGAGATCTGCATTCTCCTCCAGATTCTCCAGCCCAGAGCTGGAGAATCGAAGGAACCGCAAACTAAGCAGCGATAAATATAGTAAAAGCAACCGTTTTTCAGCGTTTGTAGATCATTCTCCCTTCGTTCAGAGAACTGATCTACACCACTTCATAAAAGGCATTCACAGGAGAACTGTGTTCTCCGAGAATGCCGGAGAACTGAGCAGCGATCATTTACCGCTGGTTCATAAACGGAGTCATGTTTTGCTTGGGGATCAAATACTTATTTTACTCACTGAACTGCAACTCAATTTATAACATTTGTATTATGTGTTTTTTTCTGGATTTTTGGTTGATATTCTGTCTCTATCATTTAAAATACACCTCTGCTAAAAATTATAGACCCTTCATTTCTTTGTAAGTGGGAAAACTTACAAAATCTGCAGGGGATCAAATAATTATTTTCCCCACTGTATCCTCCCAAACAAGACAGAAATGGCAGACATAAATTAGTAAGCCAATTTTTTTTAAATAGTATTGAAAAAGACAACTGTCAAGAATTATTTGAATAAAAAAATGTTAGCGTATATCTGGTCTACATATTTTGAACCACTTCACAAATGGTGTGTTGAGTATACACATTCAATTGCAACACAGGGTCAACACGCATTGATGGGCCAAATAATGTGCCAGTGCACCTCCAGGCAACATACTGTATCTTGTTTAAAGTGACTTTATTTCTAAAGCCATAATTTAAAATAAACCATTCCCTGCAAAGAAGAACCTACATACTCTCCGTAAAGAAGAGAAATCTTGGGGAAATTCAGGATCCCTGCTGATACCTAGCCAATAGTTCTCATCCCTCCCATTTTTAACGGGCTATGCCGAAGATCTGTACATAGCTCTATGTGCCCATGGGAATGGGTGTACCTGCTGTCTATTATTTATCTGCAATAACTTTGGTGATTTTTATTACTTTCATCCATGTTTCTACTATATTATGGGTTCTTACCAGGCCCTACTGGGCACAGGTTATCCTCTGGAGTATGGTACTTACCCCTGTGATGGTACTTTCTCTATATATCCTTTTTCTGTTTCTCCAATGGTGACACGCTTATGTAGTATATTAATCTAATACAGTACATTATTTCTTTTTTATCGGTCCTCTGATGACCAGAACCTCTGTTGCTGGTTATGTATGCTCTGACTTTATTTCTTTTTCTTTAGTATGATCGATGTGCCTTGTTATATGTGAAAATGCTTAATAAATATTATTGAAAAAAAAAGAGAGAAATTGCCAGCTGAAAAATCCTCCGATACTGACACGTCCAGAAGTGTCAGATTTCTGGTCCTTTGCTTTATTATTATTATTATACAGTATTTATAAAGCGCCAATGGTTCGCTCAGCGCTGTACATTACAAAGGGGGACAGAACATGTGACAGAACAATACCAATACAATGCAAAACATGAGGGGATCGAGGGCCCTGCTCTTTCGAGCTTACAATCTAGGAGGGAGGGGATGGTGGCACAAGAGGAGATAGCTGTGGGGGATGGAGTGGTAGGAAGAGTGGAGGAGGTCGGCAAGTTAGCAGGGGGTGGGGTAGGCTTCCCTGAAGAGGTGGGTTTTCAGGGTGCGCCTAAAGGAGAGGAGAGTAGGTGATAATCTGATGGGTTGGGGCAGGGAGTTCCAGAGGATGGGTGACACCCTGAAGAAGTCCTGGAGGTGGGCATGGGAGGAGGAGACCAGGGAACTAGAGAGAAGGAGGTCTTGTGAGGAGCGGAGTGTGCGTGCTGGGCGGTACTTGGATATTAGGTCAGTGATGTAGTACGGGGCAGTATGGTGGACAGCTTTGTACGTCAGTGTTAGGATTTTGAATTTGATCCGTTGCGCAATCGAACATATAAACTGACAGGAAATCCTGTGGTTCAATCCATTGGCCCCTATGTCACTTCTGTATCCTGTAATGATGGGGACAACAGCGGCAACAACTGAGGACCAGGAATCCAACCATCCTTGAGTGATTCTTCAGCGATCAATTTCTCATAACTACTGCAACAATCGGCAGCATGGGCAGTAGGAGAGGAATAAAGATGAGAATGGAAGTTCTTTGCAGGGAACAGTTTACTTTAGAGTATGGTTTTAGCATACATATTGTGTTATTATAAGTATTGTGAGGTGAGGTTAAAGAAGTGTGTTTATTTGGCCAATAATGGTGTTGGCGTACCATTGAAAATTAATGAGAACATTAACACAATGTGCAATTAATGGGTTATTTACTAAAACTGGAGAGTGCAAAATTTGGTGCAACTCTGCATTAAAAACAATCAGCTTCCAGGTTTTATTGGCAAAGGATAAATTAACAAGCTGAAGTTAGAATCTGGTGCAGCTGTGAATAGTAGCCAATCAGCTTCTGAGTGCACCTGTTTTAGTAAATCTCCCCATAAGTATGGAAAAGTGACTAGAAGAAGACTTTGAATAAAAATAGGGTGGCAAACGAAACATTTCATGAAGTCCTTATTACCTCTTCTGTTTCCAGATGCTCCCTTTCCAGTCTGGACTGAATATGCTGGAACCGACTGACTAACTCTTGGTGGAAGAATTGCTCAGATCGAACTTCAGTTACCTGTAGACAGATATTGGAAATTTACATTTAAAGTAAAAAATCCTGTATTCCTAAAACCATTCAAAGCAGCCAGCTTGATCCAAGTTTGACATAAAACAATAAACCCAAATGGCCAACGAGCACAACAAAGCAATATTCTCCTGGAAAGTCCATGATTCCGCACCTCATCCCCCTCATGGGGCTGAAATTCAAATCGTGCTGGGGGGCAGAACGCATCACTGCGCATTTCCATCAGCTTGTTCTTGTCGGCCTGTGCATCTAAGTTGTCCACAGCCCCTTCTATGGCCTGCAGGCCCTGCTGTCGAGACGTTTGCACTCGATCTTCAGCCTGCAGATACACACGCAGTGTCTTTCCCATAGACAGGTGAAAGCCAAGGTCGCAGCACTGCGAAGAAAAGGAGAAAAATCAATATTCCAATAAATAGCAATAATTGTGCTGAATTTAGTTTAAAAGGAGGAACTTACATCGATAAGGTCACTAACGTCATGGATATAGTAATTATTGAGATTGGAGTTCACGGTGTTCAAATTGATAAGATATTCATTCCGGGCTTTTGTGCATTTTTGACTGTTTTCCTGGTACTTTTTCGACCTCTGAAAGGACAAAAGAGGAATCCAAATGAAAAGTTATTCTTCACCAGAAGTGAAACAATTTAGGTCATAGGAATCACGTATACAGTATCATATAGTGTATGTTATGAAGATGCCATCATTTTAGATGAACCTGGCCATGTATAATACAGGGCAGTTGAAAGTGAAGTAACAATTTGAACTCCCCAATACAATTTGATATGTTTATCCAACACATTATTGTTATTATTATACAGGATTTATAAAGCGCCAACAAAATGAAGGTAGACATTACAGTTACAATACAATTTGGTACAAGAGGAAACGAGGCCCTGCTCTTTAGAGCTTACAATCTAGGAGATGTTTAGGGGCTCAAGAATGCCCTCTTCATCTTGGCTTTAAATATTGCTAGAGGTTAAAGGCGAATTTTGGGAGAATAACTGGCTTGGATAAGCTATCAAAGGTCTTGAATATTACATAACAAATCAAGTTGAAGGTGGTTTATTTCCACTCAAAGTCTCTGGCGTCAGGGACCCAAACAAGATTTTTTAAGATTCAGAGAAACAAAAAGTTTGCTTTCTTCATATCCGTCATGAACTCCAAAACCCCTCTCGTTGTTCAGGTTAGAAACCTAACATCAGGACTTGGATCTGAACCCAGGAGCTCCTCTGTGTCTGGCAGTAACACTTCTTGCTGAGCCACCTAAGATGTTGGACAGCTCCCTATCTGACCTGTTTGCCAGATTACTGTGTTCTCTCCAGCCAATATCTCGCTCTTGTCACTCCTGCTGCTACTACCACTCGTTACTGACCTCTGGCTTGTTCCTCGACTGCGCTTCTGCTTGATCCCAACCTGCAACCACTTGTTACCAACCTTTGCCTTGTTTGCTGACTATGCCTCTGCTTGATCCCTACCTGCTATATCTGTTATTTGACCCTGAATTGCTCAACTCCTGGTGGGGTGATCCTGAGGACTGCAACCTTGTGTTAACATGCAGCAAAACCCATCTCCACAATCAGGAGCTATGGTGAATACCAGTTAGTACATAGACCCCACACCTTGGGTGATCCCGCGTCATCCACCAGGATGACCTGCTTTTATCCCTATCCTGCTGGTAAGTGGAAATCTCTTTACTATTCTAGCTACTGGTCTCTGAGCCTGACCATGACACAAAGTGATCCTGCCAGCCAGTGCCTCACATACACCTTCAAATTAGGATGGAAAGGCAGATGTCTTTGTCCAAGAACAGCATAAGCATTCTTGCACTGTATGTTACATGTATATGAGCGCGATGACTTGCACACTGAGGTTTACAGGAAATTCACCCACCCAGACCATTATCTTCTCCTGGACTCCTGCCACCCATTAGAATACAAACTGTGGGTTATTAGAACTATGCAACATCAGGCTGAAAGGGTAACAACAAACAGAAAGTTTATAGAAGAACACAAGCGTTTCATCCAGGCTTTTGTTACCATGTCCACAAGGCCAAGCAAAAACACAGGACCATCAAACAAAGTAGCTTAATATATGGAATGTCGGAAAAAATCAGAAGCATCATTATCAAAAATTCAATACACCGTGTCAAGACAAGCCCAGCAATACACTGAGACAGCAACATGTACATCCAAAAGACCAAACCAAACATCCAAACACAAGTAAATGGTACTGTATATGCAATGCAGTGTGGCGAGGAATACAAAAACCTGTACATTGGGGAGATGAAGCAACCCTTTAACAAACAAATCGCCCAATATAGGAGGGCGATATCTATGACTCATTGAGGACAATGAGGTGCACATTTTGGACCGAGAAGACTGGTTCATAAGTGGTGTTAGAGGCAATCTACGTTAAACTGAAACAACCATCAAAGAACAGAAGTTAGGGCCTTCAAAACCATCTGTCTTCCACATATAATGGTGTTATAACATCTCTACCCTGGCCTTCTGACAACAATCCACACCTTCAGCAACGTTTAACACCCAAGAAGCCTTTCTGACAGCAAGCATGTGATTATATAACTAGAACAGAGGAGTTCCACAACTTTTACACCTCCCATCCTCTTCATGGATAATCAACATCTACCTATTTGAACTGAAGAAGTGGCTTGGTTAAGCTATGAAACCTCAACATTACAAAACAAGTTTAGTTGATTGTGTGATTGTGACTGCTACTAGTTAGAAAAAGCTGAACAAAAACAGACACACCACTCCAAATGAGACAGTGTAAGGTATGAAGGTGCTAAAAACCCAATGCATGTCACAAGGTGCCGGTCCGGTTCGTGGATGGGAAACACAAGATGACTGCACTCAAGTGTTGAAGCACTCCAAAAAACTTTTTTTGTAGTTCCATAAAAGCACACAATATCATGTTTCAACAAGTAGGGAAATGGTAAACCCATTTCACACTACCAGAGCTTACTCATAGGTAAGTAACATCAGTTATGAATAAGCACTTGTAGTGTGAAACAGGTTTACTGTTTCTCTGCTTGTTAAAGTGTGATATTCTGTGTTTTTGTGGAACTACAATAAAGTTTTTCGGAATGCTTCAACCATTGAGTGCGGTCATCTGTTTTCCTTCTATACTACTAGTTATACCATTACCTAGATAAAGAGAACCTTCATAGACACCTCTACTCCTATTTTCACATGTAACTTAGTAGCCAAACCTTCTTATTAGTCTCAGCTATGCAAGCACACGCCTTTATATATGTGAGTTGACTGACATTGAGAACTCTCTCACTTCTGCTGTGGGAGCCTGCTGCTAGGTGAAAAGGCTGACCACGGACAGAACACTAAAAAGGAACCCATTACGGGGCGTCCTGTAAATGAGAAACTGACATGAGCGAAGTTAGTGGCTTGGAGAAGCAGACGTTTTGTTTGTTTTTTGCTATGGACTTGCTTTACAAATCCCAACTGCATTGAAACTGTGTTTGCTGCCTCGCTGAATAAAAGTGCAGGACAAACCTGCTTCCACTCTTCTTGGGTGTCCCTGTCTTGTGCATGGTTTACTCTCACTACCAGTTGAGTCTGTCCCCTTTCTGACTAGGGTTGCTACCTCATCCCTTTAAAACCAAACACATATGAATTACACAGGTTCTGTGGCTGATTAAGGTGGTCATTAAACTCACTTAATGCCTTATCTTCATTAAATTAGCCTCAGAACCTGTAATTAATGTGTGTTCGGTTTTAAAGGGATTAGGTGCCAATCTTATTTCTGACATATATATTATATGAAAGCAAAAACAGAACTGTTTGGCCAGTGATCATAGAGGATGACACAACCAACATGTCTAGGAGTCATAAAATTTAAACCTGGCACTGGTCCCAGGTACAGAAAAAAACATGTTGACTTACGCATTTCATTAACGTTCCAAATCAGTCACATCCTGAGGATCAGTGACCACATACATAAGCATTCCGGTTATCTACTAGAAGCAAAATTATTGCCAGCAGCAGCTGATCAGTCATCCTGTTTAAAGTGAACCTGACTTTTGGCCTATTCCTGTTAGTCTACATTTGTCTAAGCAACATAGGCATGAAGCCTATAAAACACTCTTCAACTGCAGTGCAGGTGTGCTGAATACAGATTATAAATAAATGTTGACTCATTTTAAACACTTTTTACCAACATTTTTAAAATTTTTGAACATTTTAAAATCACCTCCCCCCCCCCCAGAAAATTACTTAAAGCAGCATTAAACCCAATATCAAAAATGTAATATATTGCAGCCTACAAATTCTTAGATGTGGTGGCTGCATTCATTTCCCTTTTTATTTCCTTTATTTCCACCTGGTGATGTTGCCAGTAAGTTTGCTATTTTTCAACTTCCTTTAACAGAGCAAGCTGTCCAGCAAAAGTGGCAGTTAGAGGGTTGTGACAAACCATTTAACAAGGACAGGGGTGATACCTAACATGTGTGGCTCAATTGCTGTTTACATACATGTGAGCACCCTACATGCACTTTGGCATTTGAGCATGTGCAAAGGACAAGGGAGTGCTTTCAAAAAAATTTGTGCGTTAGTTACATTTATTTTAATTTATTTATTTAACATCTATTAATATATTTTTTTCATTTATCAATAACGTTGGGGGCTCACAGGGAGGGCTAACAAGCTGCCATTCTGATCCAGTTTACCATGGTCCCAGGAGAACAGGGGAGAGCCTGGGAAGCACAGCGGGGGTGCTTTAAGGGATTCAAAAGAGTTTTTCAATGACTGTCAAATGCTGTGTAATCGATTGCTGAATCTAATGCCTCTTAGACTAGCATTTACAAGCAAAGAACAATGACCATGTTTTTAGAGCCTAATGTGGTACCCGCAAGTATCAGCACAAGCTTTCTGTTGGGGATAGTTCACATGCGTGGCTTTACTGCCACCCCTCTGATAAATGGCCTGTGGAGGGCGTTTGACAGCTGGCGAGGAAGCAATCCGTTGCCCCTCACTACGTCCTTTAATCCTCAAATCATCAACTCACCTTGTCACATGCGTGTGCATAGCACGCAATTGCAGACCATTTGCATGTGTGGCTGCATGCCCTGGTTTAAGTGAATGGTCATGAAGCAGTAAAACCATGGCTTAACCACCTGCTTTTATTTTTCCCCGGCCTCCCATGTGCATGAGCCCTTGCTGTTGCCAACTTTGTATATTTAAGGGCTCATTCACATGGGCAGAAAAAACGCTGGATTTAGATACGCACTGTGCATAATTTTGTGTGCATCCAAATACCTCATCTGGAATACGCAGTTCAATTTTGGGCACCAATTCACAAAAAGAACATTGGGGAACTGGAGAAAGTACAGAGAAGGGCAACCAAACTGATACGAGGCATGGAGGAGATCAGCTATGAGGAAAGATTAGAGGAACTGAATTTATTCTCTCTTGAGAAGAGGAGATTAAGGGGGGATATGATCTCAATGTATAAATACATCAGTAGTTCATATAGTGAACTCGGTGTAGAGCTATTCACCCTGAGGCCATCAGAGGACAAGGGGGCACTCTTTACGTCTGGAGGAATAGAAATTTAATCTCCAAACATGGAAAGGTTTCTTCACAGTGAGAGCTGTGAGAATGTGGAATAGACTCCCTCAAGAGTTGGTTCTGGCCAGCTCAGTGGATTGCTTTAAAAAAGTCCTGGATTATTTCTTAGATACACAGAATATAACTGGATACTAACATTTATAGGTAAAGTTGATCCAGGGAATATCCGATTGCCTCTCGGGGATTCAGGAAGGAGTTTTTTTCCCTGCAGGAGCAAATTATATCATGCTTTGCTGTTTTTTTTTTGCCTTCCTCTGGATCAACTGTGGGTATAGGATTAGAACTTTTTTTTTTTATGGTTGAACTGGATGGATTTTTGTCTTTTTTTCAGCCAGACTAAATATGTAACTATGTAACATAGTTACATATTTAGCTCTATAGTAATCAATGATCTCATACTCAGCTGCCCATAACTGCAAAAATGTACGCTGCGGATAACTAAGTAAGTAGGACACCTCTGCATCCAGGGCCACACAGATCTGCAGGTTTTTTCAATGAACACGTGTAAACGTACATAAATGCGCCTAAATATGTACATGCATAAATGTACAGCCATTCATTTGAATTAAAGAAGAATTGTACACCTGTAAATGCTGTATGCAACTAAACATGTCTCGTACTTTATATAAGTATTTTCTGCCAAATCTTTTGCCAGCAAGAACCTGTGTTCATGCAGAAAATATGCATACTGTAGGCGTTGTGTGAATAGACCCTAAATCTATTACCTTCTCTACAAGCCTCTCTGTCTTCTTAAGGGAACTGCGCCTCGGCCCCCTTTCAGCTACTGGTGAGCTTGCGGTCTGCTCGCTCACTTTGCCTGTGCGCTTTTCTTCTTGCTTCTCGGCCTCCCTCAGTTTGTGCTCAGAGTTCAGACAGTCATTGTGGTACAGCTGGTAGGTCTTCACTGCCTACGGATAAAAGATATAAGATAAGTGATCAATCACTACGCAATAGAGGTGAGTCAGCCAACAGCACAAATGAGTCAAAGCTATAAATGATAAACCTGTTTATTAGGTAAATGTCTAAAAAAAAAATTATAAAGCGTATTAGCAAAAAAGTGTGTTTGTGTGGTTTGCAGTGCTATCATGTATTAATGTCTACAGGTATTCTGGGTCAGCAAAACCATGGGATGCTTAACAGTGGACTCCAAACTGCAGTCTTTGGGCCAGATGTGGCCCTTTGCTTGCCTTTATCCATCCCTTGGGGTATTATTCCTCCCACTGACACCAATGATAGGGTAATGCTCCCTCCACTGACACCAACAAGGAGGCAATATTCCTCCCACTGATACCAACTATGGGACACTATTTCTTCCACCGATGCAAAGGTTCAGGCACAATTCCTTCCATTGATACCAACGATGGGGCACTATTACTCCCACTAACACCAATGATGGGGCTTTATTACTCCCATTAACACCAATTATCTTCCACTGATATCAAGGATGGGGCACTATTCCTTCCACTGATACCAATGATGGGGCGTTATTCCTCCCACTGATTCCAATGATGGGGAACTATTCCTCCCACTGACACCAAGCATGGGGCAATATTCCTCATACTGACAAAAGGTGCTATGTAATTTATTTATTTCTACTGACCACAAAGACTGAGCCATTGTCTGCTCCCATTGAGGCTGGGGCATTATCTACTCCCACCGGCCACAGTCCAGCCCTCATAAAGTCTGAGGGACAGTAAACTGGCCCTTTGTTTAGAAAGTCTGAAGACTCCTGGACTATTCTAGAATTATAGTGGGAAGAAGAACAGAGTAAGCAGCCTGAATATTTACGGGACTCCAGCCCAATCCCTGGGAGGTGTGCATAGTACGTGGTTGAAGAGCCTATTTATAGTCTATGGCCTGGTGCAGAGCAGCAGAGCTCCTGCTGGAGGAGACCCCTGTGCAGGGGCCCTGCCCTTGGGCAGGAAGTCTGAAGGTGCCACTAAGAGGATATTGAGGCCCCAGCTAAATCTTAGCGGGGGGCCTATTCGCAAGCTTAGTTCTGGAGTCAGTTTGTGAGAAGCTCACTGGACAGAACCAGGATTAGAGTCAGGTGTATGATTAAATATACCAAGCAGGTGCTAATGATCAATTTCATATCTAGGTTGAAGTGCAGTCATTAACTGAAACAAAACATCTGTGTAGGAGGCTTAAAACCGGGTGAGGAACAGCCAAACTCTGCTACTAAGGTGAGGTCGTGGAAGACAGTTTCATGTCACAGGTCATACACCATGACAAGACTAAGCACAGCAACAAGACACAAGATAGTTATACTGCATCAGGAAGGTCTCTCCCAGGCAAAGACTTCAAAAGCAGATTGGGGTTTCACGATGTGCTGTTCAAGCTCTTTTGAAGATGCACAAAGGAATGGGCAACTTTGAGGACCATAGATGTAGTGGTCTTCTCTAGATACCTGATGAAAGGCTGTGAGTTAGGTTGCAGAAATATAAAAAAAAAATTCATATTCACTTTTGCACTTTCACCTAAATAAATGTGCCACGGGAATGTTTTTTTTTATTATTATATTGGTGGATTTGTATATTGGCTGAGAATAAGCTCTTTACTTTTTCTATGTAACACACAAACAGCAAGAATCTGATGGGTATTTTCTTTTTAGGTTAGTAAACCCCTCCATACAATGTCTTAGCCTGACACTTATGAAACTAAAATATCCAATTCATCCAAGTCACCTAATTGACTATTATTTCTAATAGCATGCTCTGGCCTGGTCTTTAGACATAAAGGGGTTTATTTACTAAAGCTGGAGAGTGCAAAATCAGGCTCGTTTCTGAATAGAAACCAATCAGTTTCCAGGTTTTATTGCCAAAGCTTAAGTGAACAAGCTGAGGTTAGAAGCTGATTGGCTACCATGCACAGTTGCACTGATTCTGAGTGCTCCAGTTTTAGTAAATCTACCCCAGAGTGTTGCCCTAAAGAACTGACCACCAGAATTAAACAATTGCTTCTCTGTACTGTATATATTCACAGCTTAACTCAAAGCAGACCTTGGATATGCCCCAACACACAAGCCATTGTTATATATTTTGTATTTTAAATGTGGCGACAAAAAGTAATGTATATGAGTGTTGACCAATCTGGCTGAAGTCAGTAGGATTGGGTGACAAAAGGGATGTCGAAGAGCATGGTTGGCCACGGAAGGAAAGATGTCTTCCCCTTGAATGAAAGGTAAGGAGACATCTGGCAATGTGGAATCACAATACTCTGCCAACATGTGAAAAGCTTGGATGATTTTAAGAAATTGTCTTTCTGTAACGCTGGCAGCCTTTCATGGGCATAGGTGCCTCTTATCACTTTCTAGTTGTCACAAGTCAAGCTTGAATTGGGAGCACCAATAACAGAAAGTGTCCTTTTCATGGTCTACCTATTTGCGTTTGAAGTATATTTTGGAAATGACCTATGATTTCTGTGATGGTGAGGTGCCATTCCACAATGTAAATAGAGGATTCTCACCCAGGAAGGTTGAGGGATTCCATGGGGTTTGCTTAATTCAGAGGAAATGGGTTTTTCCATTTCCTGATCAGTTGGTAAAACCTGGTTTGGGATCTGGTGCTCAGATATTTCAAAGTGATTTGGGAGGGATGAAATTTCAAATCCTGGGTCCTGGTTTTAGGAACAACTACTGCATTGATTGTACAGGTGTGTGCTGTGCTTTAAGTAGTGACCTGACTAAAGTTTTGGGCTCCTCACCCAGGAGTCAGGAGGGAAACAATGGCCTGCTAGCTATTCAGACAGTAGGAGACAGACGTGGGCCTGATATGCAAGGTCAGAGTGGCAGTGTTATAGGTACAGTGCTTGCGTGAAAAAGTATTTGCCCCCTCCTGATTATTATTTTTTATATATATGTCACACTTAAGTGATTCAGATCATGAAACAAATTTTAATATTACACAAAGATAACCCGAGTAAATACAAAATGCAGTTTTTAAATGATAATTTAATTTATTAAGGGACAAAAACTGTCCAAACCTACCTGTCCCAGTGTGAAAAATGATTTGCCCCCACCCTTTGCTAAATCATGAATGAACTGTGATTACCCACAATTTTTTAAAGTTGTGTTAACGTGATAAAACAAACTTTTTGTTTTCTCAGAATCTTAATAAGTTCTTAAGTTCTCTTTTATATCCTGGAGCTTGGAGGCTAGATCCACAGATTTCTCTCTCTCTCTCAACACTAAAAAGGTGTAAGAACTGGCTGTTTATTTTGGGTAACCTAACCCATTGTGGAGGGAGGGCACTCTGTGAGTCAGTAACTGACCTGAATTTAGTAGCTGGCTTGGAAAGGCACATATTTTTGTTTGTACAAGAAAAAAAAAAGGAGAGAAATACACTCCTCAAAATGTGGGACTTCATAGGTGCAGAGTCATTCAAAATAAAACAATCAAGATTTCTTAAATACATAAAGTTTAAAAGTCAGTTTAAAAAAAAAACAAAAAAAAAACAGAGTAAATTGGAGGTTTTGATAAAGTACACTCTCAGACATGATAGTTCCAAGTAGCATATATATATATATATATATATATATATATATATATATATATATATATACGGTGTGATGAATCCCAACATGTTTCACCTGTCAGGCTTCTTCAGGGGACAAAGTTACACTGTGAAGGAACAATGTCACATAGGTCCAAAAAGGCCAATTGGAAACAACAAAGTGGTTGTATCAGGTTGTATCTCCCGCTCACCTAGACAAAGGGCAGCATATGGTGTGCTACAGGAAGAGCGCAAAGCAGGAACCTATTTGTTATCCACTCAGGGAGCAAACCCCACCAACATTGAATCCCACTGGATAGAACAAATAAAAAATGTGATGTACTGGTAAAGAAAGGAACAATCAATCACTGTAAACTTCCATTTAGTTGACCTCAAAACAATGAACAGCGTGGTGCCCCGCCAACAAAAACAACTAAATGGAGGTTTACATTGATTGACTGTTCCTTTGTTTACAATGACATGGGATGTTTCATTCCTTTTTTCTAGTGGGATCTAATGTTGGTGGTGTTTGTTCCCTGAGCAGATAACAAACAGGTTCCTGCCTTGTGCTCTTCCTGCAGCACACCATATGCTTCCCTTTGTTTAGGTGCTTGGGGGATTCTTGGATTTACCTGGCTCTAACCTGATCAGTAATATCAGCTAGACATGTCTCCCGTGGGCTCTTCAGACCAGATCCCCAGATAAATCCCTTGATCAGCTCCAGCAAAGTTCAATAGATTAAAACCCCCAGCTAACCGAGCTGGGACCTAAATGGGCAGATAAAAAGCACAGCTGGACTTCCTAGAAGGGCAGTCGCCCTTCAGGCTGGGATCTTCTCCTTCTGGACAAGAACCCCTCTGCTCCAGTCCTCAAACTATTTATGCTCTCTTCTGGCCACCTACTGGGCACTATCCCCCAAGGATGGAATGGGACCTTATAAAAATTCAGGTTGCCTTCTGGACTCTCCCAACTCACTACATTCCAGAACCCTCCAGAAGACAGGGTAAAGCAGTGAAACCTGCAACAAGTGAGACACAGAACAGCCCAAAATAATCATAAGCTGTTCAACTGATTACAGTAGAGCTAAAGAACTAAATTTACCTAACATAACTAGCAGCTTAACTAGGAGGATGCTATACATGCACACACACATGCACAAAATGAGTATTATTGTACAGCAACTCAAACTTGAACTTATTTGTGAGAATTTCTCTGGCCACAATGGAACACGAAAGAAGACAAATGGAACCAATACTGCAGAAGTTATGACTCTAACTTTTCTTTGATTACTGATTAAAGCAATACATTTAGTTTTCAGTTACTGAAAAACTGAGAAGTAATAGTCATAAAGATAAAGAAGTGAATAGGGAAGAAGTGGATGTAGCACAGTAGACCGAAGTTCAGTAACTTATATT